TGAAGCTGCGCCTGCGTGACTGCCTGCGTCTGCGTGCGTGGTGCCCAACGCCGCCGCAGCGCAGGCGATGGGGGATCATGGGAAGAGATGGCTGGCTCGCTGGCTGGCTGGCTGGCCAAAAGGAAAAAAGCTGCGTGCAGGGCGGCATGCACCACCTTTGGCTGTTTGTTTTCATCGTGTAATCTCCCGCTGGCCGCTGCTGGTGCTGGAGTCGCCGTCGCCCATCCCCCATCCCCCAGCCGATTATTCTTATTCCCTTTGCTTCGCCTCCTGTCGGCATCGCCCGGTAAAAAAGGCGACGGGCTAAACACCAACAAGTGCCCTTGCCCACATTCCCACAACCACAGGGCATGCCTCTGCCTGTGGGCTGTGGAGTGTGGCATCGGCACTGGCAACGCACAGGCACACCAGCTTGCTCTCTGTGTCACTGTGTGTGCGTGTGTGTACCCTTCGTGGTGCGTGGCTGTACTGCACACATGCAGGGATCGCAGGGACTGTGGCCTTTTACCTGCCACTGGGTCTCCTAGCACATAAAAGGAAACGTGAAAGCACGTACCGTGCTTACAGTACACCGCAATGGTATGGCGCGAGGGAGGGAGAGTGAGGGCCAGGGCCAGGGCCATGCCCGCGCGACACGCACTGGCAGGCGCACAGCCACGGGCTGCAGTGCAGGCACACCATGGATCTCATCTCCCTGGGTTCCACAGCTGCCTTGCCACCATGGAACGGACGGCTATGGCGGCTTGGTCTCTTTGACTTGGTGCCTGCCGTGCCTTGGGAAATGCATGCCATGCGCTGCGGTGACTGCAGAGCGCTGAACGGCCGGTGCACGCCTCTGAGCTGAATGCGACCTGGACCGCCCAACTTCTCTCGCTTTTTCCTTAGTGCTGCGACTGTCATATATTGGGGGATTTGGAAACTTGTACAGCGACACTATTATATAACATTATCTACAGTATGTGCTTCTGAAGCCAGCCTAGATGCCTGCTAGTGCTAGTGCAATCGTTAGAGCTATCTCTATCTATCTGCTCAGCATCATTAGGGTGCTCAACTTTGGGTCTCGGCCGCCAGTCATGCCATGCTGCAGCGAGACATGCATGCATGCCGAACAGATGGGATGACCAAATCATTCCCGATTTGACGTGCCAACAGACTCTTGAATTCTTGTCTGCGGGAACGAAACGGAACGTCATATCGTAGATGTTCTGTCTGCCATTAAGTTTCTGTGTTACTGTATTTCTCGTGGCTGAAGAACAGCGAACACCGTAATGTTGAGCAACGAACAGCAGTGATGATACGATTCTGATGGTTTGGCAGGTCCTGGATGCTCTTCGGTGGCGTATGGAGCATCGGAAGAGATCGGCCCGTTCCGGATCAAACCAAACGGGACAGGGCTGTTTCTGAACAAGTACTCATGGAACAGAGGTAAGGCCACTGATGGGGAAAAAAAACAATACACTTTCTTAATAACATCAAGTGATGTATCGTCGGTCACTGATGGGAAGAACTTGGATATCATCCATTGTTGCAGAGGCGAACCTTCTCTTCCTCGAATCGCCTGCGGGAGTCGGCTTCTCCTACACGAACACCACTTCGGATCTCAAGACAACGGGCGATGAGAGGACTGGTAATAATCCGTCGCTGGGCCTTTTAGTAGCTGTCAAAATTTGATGACTGAATCTTGAAACTACAACATCACTCATTCAGTAGCAGTTGCCAAGTAGTCTCAGTTGATGGCATTATGAAATGTGAATTGGCTGCAGCTCAAGATGCACTGCAGTTCTTGATCAGCTGGATGTCACGGTTCCCATGGTATCGGCACCGAGATTTCTACATAGCTGGAGAAAGCTACGCCGGTAAGTCTCTCAATGTCATTGCTGATCCACAGGGAACATATTCATAATGCATCCAGTGTTCTGATTTTTAACGCACTAGAAGAAAATACTAGCAGTCTAAAAGTTTTACTGCTGCAATTTATTCTTATTTCTGCACTTGATTCCAGGCCACTACGTCCCACAATTGGCAAGGAAGATTGTTGAGTACAACGAGGCTTCGCCTAACCCCTTCATCAACCTGAAGGGGATCCTTGTGAGTATCTTCAAACATGAGCAGGCTCTAGTGTAATCTAAGTTTTTTTATATAAAAAAAAACTGCTACAGTATATTTCGCCGGCTCCAAATGTGAGTGAATTTACCTTGCAACATTTTCGGTACTCACTCGATCAGGTGGGCAACGCGGTCACTGACAACTACTACGACAACATCGGCACGGTCACCTACTGGTGGACGCACGCCATGATCTCTGACCGCACCTACAAGGCCATCATCAAGTCGTGCAACTTCAGCAGCAGCAACATCTCGCGCTTCTGCAACCGCGCCATGAACTACGCCATGAACCAGGAGTTTGGGGACATTGACCAGTACAGCATCTACACGCCGTCATGCGTGGCAGCCAGGTCCAACGCCACCGTACTGAGGTTCAAGAACACCCTCATCCGCCGGAGGTCCTTCGGCTACGATCCCTGCACGGAGACCTACGCCGAGAAGTACTACAACAGGCTGGACGTGCAGAAGGCAATGCACGCAAACACCACGGGGATCCCCTACAGATGGACTTCCTGCAGGTTCCGTAGCTTGTTTTCGGTTCTTGTTATGATTTGTTCATCCATTTAAGAGTGGCACTGAATGCGTTTTTTGTTATTTCCTAATAACACTGGCAGCGATGTGCTGATCAAGACATGGAAAGATTCAGAGTTCTCCATGCTGCCGACGTACAAGAAGCTGATGAAAGCAGGACTGAGGATATGGGTGTTCAGGTAATTAAGCTGAAGAATCTGAATCTGAAATTGGAAAATTATACTTGATTGATACACTGCACCCGAGAAGTTTTCAGTGAGCATAACACTATATGTGACTTGGCAAAACTGCAGCGGTGATACAGATTCAGTAGTCCCGGTAACCGCGACAAGGTTTGCAATCAGTCATCTTGGTCTGAAGATCAAGACCCGCTGGTATCCATGGTACTCAGCTGGACAGGTACTGAATTTTCCATTGCTGTTTAAGCAATCTACCTGTTGTTGCTGTAGTGTCTTTGAGTTTGAGGTGCATCTTGTGCATTTGCAGGTAGGAGGGTGGTCTGAGGTGTATGAAGGGCTCACGTTTGCATCAGTGAGAGGTGCAGGGCATGAGGTGCCATTGTTTCAGCCCAGGAGGGCATTCAGGATGTTCCGGTCCTTCTTGGCCGGGGTGCCATTGCCCAAGTCCTGAATGTTTACCTGATGATGTCTAGCTACATTCTGAAGAAAATGTAAAAGATGGATGAAAAAGTAATGTGAGGAGCGTTCGCAAGTAGAAAATAACTTGTTGATAGGCGTGCAGTTCATAGCTGAGTGATTGATTGGTGTTGGAAAAAGGATGTAGAGAATAGGGATGGTTATGTTATGCCATGGAAACCCATGAGCATTGCAATGATTAGCGAATAAATTTCAATGATCTCACTCTCATATGCTATGTTATGTTAAGCCATAGAAACCCATGAGCGTTGCAATGATTACTGAATAAATTTCAATGATCTCACTCCCAAATCAAATATGTTTCAATGACCTTTGCTGCCCATTTTCAGCAGCAGTGTTTCGGGTACTATTATTATCTGCAAAGTGAGGGCAAAAGGACATCATCTCATCTATATGGAGTGTGCACCAACAATTGGATCAACTGCTTCGAGTAAATTTCAGCAGTATTAACCAGTTCTCGAGAATTAGATATTCTTATCCCCACAGACGCTTGTTCAGATAAACAGTCCCCCATAGTCATTGGAGAATGGAGGTAATTAGGGAGGATTATGGGAATTAAAAAAAAGGCAGATTTTTTAGCAGTTCTCGTTCCCACCCTATGCACTCAAAAGTATCACCAAACCCAGGTAGTCTGAACTGAAGTTGGCAGATCACAACCAGAAAACGGAAAACCTAAGACGTAAACAGCGTAGCATTAGTTTCATGATTTGTAAAATTTTATGATTAGAACATATCTCAACGGTGAATCTGTACTCCGTCGAACAATGAAATAACAAACCAAACCAGAGTGGCGAACTGGTCTGAAAAATTTGCTCCTTTGCTCAAACAATAATCTGCAATTGATAATTACTGATGAGTCAACTAACCAACACTAGCAAATGTGGCCTACTTTTATAGCCTTGCAAAAGATAACAAACCATCTTATGAGCTTAACAAAGCAAATCCAAATCAAAAGGTGCATAACCAATCCACTGCAACTCTAAATCATCACCGCAAGTACAACAGAAAGGGACAAAAGTATGACTGCAAGTACAACAGAAAGGGATAAAAGGATGACTGCAAGTATACCGACAATAAATCTATGAAGAACAATCAAAGTTTGATGAAAGATCTGCTGAGCAGGGGTAAGGACATTTGCAGGAGAGTTCACAAGCTCTCTTCCGAATTTCACACCCAACGAAAGATCATTAGCATACTGAAGTTTATGATCCACCTCCGTACCAGAACCCGGTACAATAAATATCAGCCTGTTTCAGGTGCACTTTTTTTATTCATACTTGTATCTGGTGTCCTCATACAACCCCAGCACGGTCCTGCGATTCAGACTGGCAGAAAATTCATCATCAATCCAATGCACTCCATAACCATCCTCCTACCTGTGCATGCACAAGATGCACCTCAAACTCATAGACATTATGGTAACAACAGGAAGATTGCTTAAACAGCAATGGCAAGTTCAGTACCTGTCCAGCTGAGTACCATGGATACCAGCGGATCATGATCTTCAGACCAAGATGACTGATCGCAATTCGCAAACCTCGTCGAGGTTACCGGAACGTGTATCACCACTGCAGCTTTGTCAAGTCACATAGTGTTATGCTCACTGAAAACTTCTCGGATGCATCAATCAAAGTGAAGAACACTGGACGAATATGTTCCTGTGGATCAGTAATGACAGTGAAAGACTTACCGGCGTAACCTTCTCCAGCTATGTACAAATGTCGGTGCCAATAGTGCAGTCCAGCTGATCAAGAACTGCAGTGCATCTTGAGCTGCAGCCAATTCACATTTCAAAATGGCATCAACTGACGTTTACTTGACAACTGCTAGTGATGTTGTAGTTTGAAGATCCAGTCATCAAAATCTGACAGCTACATAATGACCCAGGATTACCAGTCCTCTCCCATTGCCCGATATCTTGAGATTCGAGGTGGTGTTGGTGTAGGATTGTAGGAGAAGCCGATGACTCCAGCAGGCGTGTCAAGGAAGAGAAGGTTTGCCTCTGCAACAATGGGTATTCCAGTTCTTCTGATCAGTGACCGACAGTACATCACTTGATGTTAAGAAAGTGTATGTTTCCCCCAATCAGCGACCTTACCTCTGTTATGAGTACTTGTTCAGAAACAGCCCTGTCACGTTCGGTTTGAACCGGAACCGACCGATCTCTTCTGATGCTCCATACGCCACCAACGAGATGTAACCGGACTAGGTAGTTTTTTTTTTTTTTTTTTTTTTTTTGAGAGAGAGAGAGAGAGAGTAACGGGTACCCTTTCATTAATTCAACCGATCGTTACATAAAGAAGCCCGGATGAGCTCCGGCGCCTCATGAAACCAAACAGAGTCAGAATATTGACCAGCTGATCTAGCTAGAACATGAGCTACCACGTTACAACATCTACTGACATGAATAAAAGAGAAGTCAATTGATGAAAGTCTCATCTCTTGCTTGATGTCCTGGATGACCGATGCCACTAGAGAGCGATCTCTGCCATTTGATTGGGGCTTCTGGATCACGGAGAGGCAGTCAGATGCTAGCAACCCTTATGGTATGGAAGACTTGAGACAAAATGGACTGCATATATAAGAGCAATTGCCTCTGCAAGTTCAGGTTCAGTGGCCCAGTTGCGGCTCTGCCTGCAAGCAGCAAGGAAGCTACCGTTGTGGTCTCTAATCACTAAACCAATACCCATCTTCTTTGATTCTGCGAACAATGCTGTATCAACATTAACCTTCACCCATCCTTCCGGCGGTGGAGCCCATTGCTTATAAATTACAGGATCACACCTTTTGGAATCGACAGGTTCGTAGAGATGCATCAGAACCATTTCGACGTATGCTTGTATTTTCTGCACAATGCAGCAAGGATGCACTTCGTGCTCACCATTTCGGACACCATTTCTGGCCTCCCAAATATGCCAAATAGTGATCGTTAAGATTGTGGCTTCTTCCTCTGTGGATTTTGCTAAGTAATCAAATAACCATTGCTTGGCGGAAGGACAATTATGCAGTCGCCTTGACAAGCCACATCCATTCTTCAGTTCTCTCCAAATTTCAGCAACATATTGGCAGGTTAGAAAAGTGTGTTCCAGAGTTTCTTCTCTTCCACAGTAATAGCAAATGTCAGGTGCTTCTGGGACATGTCTCTTTTTCAGTTGTTGGCCAGTGGGCAGACAATTGTATGCAAGCCTCCAAAGAACAATTTTCATTTTTGGAGGTGCTTTTATCCCCCAAAGCTGCTTCCACTCTCTTGTTATGCTTTTCTGGTCTGAAGTTGAACCTTTACCCTTGGCACTGGCCGTTAAGAAAAGGCTGCAGTTCTAGCCATAACATATGTTGACTTCACAGTGTATAGCCCTGATCTTGTATGCAGCCAGGACACAAAGTCCTGAGTTTGATTTGAACTTGGAGGGATTTTGAGGATAATTTCTGCATCTTCATTGTTAAAGCAAGCCCTTACAAGCTCCTCGTTCCAACTTCCTGAATCAGCATCAATTAGAAAACTCACCTTAAGGTCATATGTCAGCTGTATCATTGGGCGTAATTGGTGATGAGATGACCCGGAAGTACTTAAGGTTTGACTCCATCAGCTTCTTCAGGTTCAGGCCCATCGTGTTCTTGATCGGTTGGATGCTCTAGAAACAAAGGAACGCGAGGACCTTCGATGGCAGTACACATACAGCGAGGGAGCTCGCCGTGGACATTCGCCTCGTCGCGGAGGACTGGCGAATGGCTGGGTACAGGCAGCTCGGCATCCTACTGTCTGGACGCTGAGCGCAGTCCCGTGGAGTTCTTAAATTTGGTTTAATCATGTAGTATCCTGTGTTGTCCGGTGGGTGCGTGTGTGTTGGCCTTGGTAATCAAAGTATTACCGAGTTTGTTGTTTCGCTCAAAACTCTCTTTCTGCTTAATAAAATACGTGTCGAAAGGCGTCGTCTAAAAAAAAAAGTTCCCGTCCTTCTTCGCTGGGAAGAGATACTTTTTTTTTTTAGGAAATGCTGGGAAGAGATACATAGGAGCCATCCCGGCTGCCTGGGCCCGTTACATGGGCTGTAAGGAAAGAAAACGAATTATTACTTGGGCCGCTCACACCCAGTTCGGCCCGTAGACGCGAGAGCTGGGCCTTCTGGTTCGCCTTCCCGCCTGAAATGATTCTGGATCCCCCTTTTCAGCTTCTTCAGCGTCTTCAGTAGGTTCAGGGTCTCCATCAGCTTCTTCAGGTTCAGGTTCAGGTTCAGTAGCAATTTCAGTACCTGGCGCCCTGGTGTTGGTGACACGAGCATCCAGGACCTGGCAAACCATCAGAATTGCATCACTGCTGTTCGGTGCTCAACATTATGGTGTTCATTGTTCTTCAACCACGAGAAATACAATCCAGATGCAGTAAAGAGAAACCAAATGACAAGCAGAACAGGTGTGATATTGATATGATATTGCGTTTCGTTCTCGCAGACAAAAATTCAAGAGACTGTTGGCACGTATAATCGGGAATAATTTGGTCATCTGTTCAGCAAGTGTCGTTGCAGTATGGCATGACTGGCGGAGACCCAAAGTTGAGCTCCCTAATGATGTTGAGCAGATAGTTATAACGATTGCACAAGTACTGCAAGCATCTAGGCAGGCTTCAGAAGCATATAGTAGTGTCGCTGTACAAGTTCCAAATCCCCCAAGATAAGATAGTACTCCGTAGCACTAAGAAAAAGTCAAACCTAACGGAAGGTAGTTCCAACTATGAATGAACAAGTAATATCATGCACCCTGTTCATGAACATCATTGGGAGGAATAAGGGGCCGATTGGTTGGATATCAAAATTTGTCATGTCCAAGATTTGGCGAGAAAAAGTTCCCAAAGCTTGGACAAAAATATTTGCTATGGATTTGGCATGCCAATTGTGAGGTATTGGCAAATTTTAGTACCAAACCAAATGGCTGCAAAAATCTTGGCTTGCCTAAGTTTTGGCAACAAACCAATCAGGATCCCAGGTTTCTCCTACCTTCGTCTCGATGGAATCATGAATAGTGGCGAAGAAGGAAGCGCTCGAGGCCGACCTTGGATCCAGTGGCCTTAATATCAGCTTGCACCTGCTCCCGGAACTCGGCGTAGGTGAAGGGCCTGTACCTGCCGCCAGCGCAGCTGATGACGGCGTCGTCCCGCGGGAACGCGAAGTAGCAGAGCGAGAGCCTCTCCGCCGCCTGGCTCGCCGCCACCCGGTGGCGCACGCTGCAGTACGCGTCGCCGCTGATGGCCTGCGCCATGTCTCCCAGATTGACCAGCAGCGTGCCCGTCTCGCCGGCTCCCGGCGCGACGTCGCGCCAGGCGCCGTCGTGGTGCACCTGCAGGCCGCCGACGGCGTGCTGGTTGATGACCGAGAGCACGGAGCTGTCCGTGTGGGCCTCCATCCCGAGGCGCCCGGGCTCGGGGCATCGCGGGTAGCGGTACACCCGCAGGAACCCGTCGCGCTCGGCGAGGTAGGTCGCCGCCTGGCCCGCGTCGAGGTCCAGCGGCGCGGCGAGCGCGTCGAAGAGCGTCCGCGCCACCCGCGCCATGTGCGCGCCGTACTCCGCCGCGAGGTCGAGTAGGTCGCCGAGCGGCGTCGCGGGTGCGGGCTGCTGGTCCCCCAGGGCGATGTGGAAGCCCTCGACCCAGTTGACGTCCCGGACGCGGAGCGAGAGCGCCGGCGTGCCCCAGAAGTAGCCCGGCTGCGCGCGCTTGTCGCTGAACGGCGCCTCGGCCAGCGTGGCCCGCGCCGTGGCGAAGAGGCTCGCGGAGAGCGCCGCGGGGACGCCGTGGTTGGCGAGGCGGAACACGCCGAGTCCACGGCACCCCGCCGCTAGCGCCTCCCCCGGCGCCTCCAGGTCCACCGTCGGGAGCTCCAGTTCGGCCCCGCGCGGGACCTCCTGCTCCTGCTCGTTGATGTGGCTTCCGTCCTCCTCCTCTAGGAGAGGGAACGGCGGGCACGACGGGTCCGCCGTCGTCGCCGCCGCCTGTGACTCCGATCCCGGCGCCATCTCCTCGGTCGATCGACGGCGCGTCGCTCTGCTTGGCTTCCTCCTGTGCGTGCTCGGTGCTCCTAGGCTGAGGCTGAAGTGCAATGCCCACCTCTGCTTGGATCCACGGGCAGGGCAGAGGAAGAGAGGAAGCAACCAGCTATCAGATTACTCGTTGGAGCAGGGGCAGGTAGGTCTGACTCGTCTGCTGACGCAGTCTCTGCTGTTCTCGTCGCCTGCTCACGTCACGGGCGAGGATCGGCTGACAGTGACAGACAGGATCAGGGTTGAAAGTTTTTTAACTCTCTCTCCATCCCATCAATTTTTAGACGCATATATAGAGCATTAAATGTGGGTAAAAAATAACTAATTACATAATTTGGTTATAAATCACGAAACGAATCTTTTGAGTCTAGTTAGTCCATGATCGAACAAAGTTTGTTAAATACAAACAAAACGTATTACAGTGTCCAGATTGCAAAAATTTGCAATCTAAACGAGGCCCAGGTTCAGAGTTCAGTCTTGGGAGTATTCAGAAACTCTGCATGGCCATTCAGAAGCTGCTGCGAGTGCGCATAATCATTCTCACCTAATGCCTGTCCCTCCGATGCGGAGGGTTTCAGTTTGGCATGCATCACATCCCGTCCGGCACTTGTTTCTTCACAAGCAATTTCTGTGATCACATCACACTGTGCCCTGTGATAGCTCATGATCTCATGATATAAGTATGTGCTGGGTGTGACATAGAAGGCCTATGCATTCAACAGTCACAAGCAATTTTTGTGGATCACATCACACCGTGCTCTGTGATAGCTCATGATATATACAGTATGTGCTGGGTGTGACATACTAGAAGGCCTATGCATTCAACAGTGTGAACGGATTGCAAATTTGAAATGATGCAACAAAGTGATCTGCTCACGGTACAATAGACTATTCCTCCGTCCCAAAATAAGCATAGTTTTCGCTTCGCGAGAAGTCAAATGCTTTTAACTTTGACCAAATATATATAAGAAAATATTAATATTTATAGTACATCATTAGATAGATCTTCAAATCTATTTTCATATAAACTTATTCTAAAATACAAATGTTGCTAATATTTTCTACAAATGTTGCTTAAAATAGTTTAATAGGCACGAATACCATAACGGACACTTGTTTTGAGACGGAGGGAGTACATTTGGCTTCAGCTAGCATCAAATCTTAGCTGAGTAGTGATTGGTTGGTGTTGGAAAAAAGATGTAGAGAATAAGGATTTACGTTATGCCATGGAAACCCATGAGCATTGCAATGATCAGCGAATAAAATTCAATAATCTCACTCTCAAATGCGTTTCATTGCAAACAATGATCAGCGAATAAATTTCAATAATCTCAATCTCAAATGTGTTTCAGTGCCAATACAAATTTCAAACTGTGATTCATTTTCCCTGCCGTTCGATTCCAGGCATTAAGGCATTATAAGTAAATTCATATCCCCTCAATATGACACCATTCTTTTAGGGAACACTCACCATTCATTTTATTCTCTGGGAAATAAAACATGGCAGCTAATCCGTCCCGGGAACCGAGATCCCGCTGCATCTCACCTGCTCGTGCAAGCAGATTCCCCATGCTCGACGATGCATTCATCTCTCAGCCTCTTTGTATCAGGGCACGCACAGCATATGTTCTTTTTCGGCTTGATTCGGCTGCAGATGACCCTCCGTTCACAGCTGGGATTTCAAGTGACGACGGCACGGCCACAGGCAGTGGGACTTCAGCACTACCCATTTTCAGCAGCAGTGTTTCGGGTACTATTACTATCTGCAAAATGAGGGCAAAATTAAGGACATTATTCCGCGCAATGCCGGGGCAAATATTTCCATAATCTCATCTCTCGAGTGTACAGCAACAATTGGATCAAGTGATCAACTGCTTCGAGTAAAATTTCAGCAGTACTAACCAGTTCTCGAGAATTAGATACTCTTATATCCCCTCAGACGCGTTCCCATGGTCATTGGAGAATGCAGGTAATTAGAGGGGATTAAAAAAAAGGCAGGTTTTTTTAGCAGTTCTCACTCCCACTCTATGCACTCTCAGGTATCAGCAAACCCAGGTAGTCTGAAGTCTGAATTGAAGTTGGCAGATCACAGCCAGAAAACAAAAAACCTAAGACAAGGCTAAACAGCATAGCGTTCATCTCATGATTTGTGAAATTTCGTGATTAGAAGATAACTCAATCGTGAATTTGCACTCCGTCCCACAATGAAAGAACAAGCTAGAGTGGTCTACTGGTGCCTGCAAAATTTGTTCCTTTGTACAACCTAACATAGCATGCATACTACTGCCTCACTTGATGCACCAAACAAGCAACAATTGAGCAGCAGACTTTAATCTTCTAGCGGAACTAGGTTTATCAATCAAGGTCATATACAACTTGACTGTCAACTTGTATATGTCATGTGCTCACTAACGTTGCCTTCTGAGTGCAAATGGATAAAAGTCAACAGTCCTTTCTCTGGTCTGGAGACTGCACCTTCCTAATGTCTATTTGCCTGGGAAAAGGTTTGCTCGTCCAAGGATCCTGATGGTCTCGGCATTAGGGGTTTGGGGATCTTAGAATGCCTGCCTGCAGGAAGTTGATTCATAGAGTCCACTGTGTGGAAAGCTCGGCATGGGCAATCTGGATTTGGCGACATGCTTGCCTGGCGACCCTGGAGATCCTGCGATCCTTGCTCCTGCTTTATCAAGCCATCACTATGGTGCGCGTCGATGACGGGCAGGACACATCCTTCTAGCTCAAGTTTGGATCAGAACGATTCTCCACTCTATATAGTCATTGTACTAAGCATGGCAACACCGTCAGTCAGGTAGTGGCCTCGGGGATTTGACTCCTCCCGCGTCTATCGCCTCAGGCCTAAATGGAACTGTATGAAGTGCTGAGATCATCACAGATGTCTCACTGACCAATGAAGCTGACTACAGATTGAGCCTCTTCAGCACCATGCCCAGGAAACTCTACACTGGTCCCAGGGGGGTTGCCCTACCCGAGCTGCCACTTTTTTATGGAGAAACGCAACGCCACCAAGAGTGCTTTTTCTCTGGCTCCCGATGCAAGCAAGAATTCAGTGCAAAGTTGTTTTATACAAGAAGGTTGTGGACAGCGCATCTGCGGATGTGCAGAGGAAACTGCATCACACGTCATTAGGGGTGCGGCTTTGTCTCTTCCTTTTGGTCAAGCCTAAGGTTTGATATGGACTCAAAAATCGCGGCCCATGAATTACACAATGTCAGCCTGCCCAACATGTGCCACAGGGACATATCAACACCTTTGTCGCGCTGTGTTACTAGTAGTTATAGAAAAAGAAGAAATGGAGTTGCATTAAGAACGAGGCTACTTCTCTTAGGCAACTTCTTGCTCTTGCAAAAAATGAAGCTATGATGTGGAGATGCAGGTTGCCAAAGAAAGACCAAAGGGTAGTGGATAGCTGCCTAGCTGCAGCAATGTAAAACAAAATGTGAGCGGGCGATTGTAACATTTTTTAACAACCACACGTGCCATTTTCCGGCCACCATGAAATGAATCAGGCTTTGTTCGGTCCGGTGGAGAATGGAGGGGATTGAAAGGGATTAAATCTTCTACAAATCAAAATCCCTTGATCCCCTTCGATCCTCTCAAAACCCCCTTTGATACCCTCCAACCGTCTCGGGTAAAAGATTATGTAACACACTAGCTCATTAGTAGGCTGCAGTGTTCGACAAGGCGACGTTACACGGCCGCCTAGGTGCGCCTAGGCTCTGGGTGAAGGGGTCCCGCGAGGCCTAGGGGGGTAGGCGGACCCCCTAGGCGGGCGCGGCGCCTCCACTGCAATAGGTGGCACTTCCATACAACAATAACAACAACAAAGCCTTTAAGTCCCAAACAAGTTGGGGTAGGCTTCCATGGCGATAGCAAAAGCTTAGGGCAAGGCCTAACTCAAGAGAATAGCAAAAGCTTAGGGCAATAGCTTGATGTGTTAGTCTTGCAAGGCAGTGACCTATGCGCAAAACAGGGCTAGTTTACTGGGGCTCAACGTGGGATAATAATAAGGAACATATATAAATTGCCATTTCACATATCGATGTTTTAACAAAAAAAACATATGATTTGAACTGCATGTATTTGACTATGATAGGGCTAACTAGAGGAAGCCAAACATGCCATAGCTTATAAGGAATAAACACAAACAAAACAATGATGCAAACAGCATCTAATAAAAGGATGAACCAAAAAAAAAGAAGACAAGACTTTCCTTAAAACTTTGCTCTAGTTTAATTAATTACCATGTTGTACAACTTATGCCAGCTTATATATGTAAAAGAGTATGTAAGTTAGCTTATGTAAATATATGAATGCACATAGTAAAATAGCAATGAGGAGACAGAATAACCTAGAGGATTCACCCACCATATTTGTTAAATTAAATATTATGTCATCTATTGAAGATCTGTGTCCTTTTGGCTTGTTGAGTGTCCCAGAGCATTATTTTCATCAATACTGTGCAGTTTTGCTTCAAGAAGGGCAAGTGACAAGTCCAGTTTCACTATATTCCTGGAAAAGGCCAATTCACATATCTTTTATCAGGATAGGCATGCGAACCATTAATTTTGTCAGGATAGGCATGCGAAACCATTATGATTTAGGATATGTACTGCGGCTAACATATTTTAGTAATAATCAAGTAAGAAGAACTTAGACAACATTGCATATTTTCTGCGTCGCAGGAAAGTCTAGTCATGAGAGACAAAGCTGATGCTACTTACAATTCCAAATTTAGAGCTACCAAAAAATACATCAGAAACTTCGAATCATAAACAGTCGCCACAGTGCAAATAAACTCCTCACCCACAAAGAACCTTATTTTGTATTCTTTATTACAAAGTCAAGGAGGCAAAGAAAAAAGTGTATTTAACTAAATATTATAGCAGATGGCACCATCAAATCCACGTGAAATTACCAAATGTGAACAAGAACTTATCATTCACTAACCCTGTTACTCTGATCAAGTGATGTAAGCTCTTCAACAAAGAGATTGAGTATTAAAACTACCTTCTTAGAGGAAAAAAAACTAACAATTTCAACATGAGTTCTCTAATATCAAGCAGGAATTGAGATCACCACAGACATTCGCCAAACAGATAACAGAACCATGATCCAAAATTCCTTCCTAACAAAAATCAGTAATTCCACTAATGAACCGAAGAAACAAACTACATTCAACTAGGGACAACTGACGTCAATTCCTCAACATCTTAAGTTCTCAAGAAAGAAAATAAAATCCATAGAACACCCACAAGGACGAGTAGCTGTTGACCAACAACTCACAGACAAATCAAACTTCTTTACCTGTGGAGTAGCGCGAGCTTGTCGTCGCATAGCGCGGCGAACGAATTGAGGAACTCCACCGTGTTTGCTATGAACATGTTCACCTGCGGCGCAGACATGACACACAGAGCAGTCAGACACCGCCAAAAGGACAAGCGGCTTCGCTTAGGGCTAGCAACCGTCACATGTGGAGCGAGGCTGGAGGGGATGGAGAGACGGACCAGGTAGATGGTCCTCTGGTCGGACACCGCGAAGGCCCTCACGCCCTCCACATCGTCTTCGTCACCGGTACCTTCCGCCATCGCCGGCAAGCGGCCGGGAGGGCTCGCCGCCGCCGATCTAAGCTGATGTGGCATGGCTTCTTGCGGCGGCGAGGAGGAGGGGATGGGTAGGGTGGGGGTCTAATGAGGGAGCCGGCGGCGGCCCGTTCACAAAGGTATGGTTGTGTTTATTCGCCGATCCGTTATTAACTTTTACACTGTATTTTCGTCAACAAAGAAAAAATTGATACAAATAAATATATATGTTTGCTCGGTGGCACGCCAGCATAGAACCAAGCCAACAGGGAGCGTGAAATAACCGCACTCGCCTGTTACGGCCAATTATGACATGTTCGCCATGGCTGAAAGTAACGTCGGTTAATTTGTTGTAAGAGAGAAATATTGTTCGTTGGTTGAAAAAATTCGACTTATAAGTCAATCGAACAGAACTTATATTTGCGAGCCCCACACGCGTCGACGGCAGACACACACACATTATGAGCCCTTGTTTAGTTGGATCTCAAAATCCAAAAAGTTGCTACAGTACCTGTCACATCGAATGTTTACGGCCCGTGCATGAAGTATTAAATGTAGACGAAAAGAAAAACTAATTGCACAGTTTGGTAGGAAATTGCGAGACGAACGTTTTAAGCCTAATTAGTCAATGTTTGGATACTATTTGCCAAATAAAAACGAAGGTGCTACAGTAGCCCCAAAATCCAAAATTCGCGAACTAAACAAGGGCTGATTCGACTTGTGTGCGGTCAAGCACCACGCGTCCGACGCGGGCACTGATGATGAGCCCACACCTGACCTAGCACCTACGGACAAACGGTCGGGCCAGCAGGCTAGGCTACGAAGAATGTGGTGAGGAAGAACCATCCGACATCGAGGAAAGAGAACCCTCTTCAGCACCATGGCCAGCAATGGCGAGGGGAGATTGGGGAGCTAGATCCAAAAGAGGGCGGAGCTGGAGAGGTCAGCGTCCTCAGGCGGTGGGCGCCGGGACCACGGCGGCCGTCGGCGTTGGTGGCAGTGGACACCGGGACCAGGGTGGTCACCGGGGGAGGTGGATGGCGCGCTCACCCGCTCCGCTCACTCAAGTTCTAAGCGCTTGGTTGGTACAGCTCAACTTCATGAATGAGCTTCTTTTTTCTACTTTGGTTTGTTGAGCAACTTTACTAGTAGATTTGAGCGCGTGTTTAGTTCCATGAATTTAGAATTTGAGGTTATTGTAGCACGTTTGTTTTTATTTGGCAATTAGTATTCAAACATGGACTAATTAGACTCAAAACGTTCGTCTCGTAATTTCCCACCAAACTGTGCAATTAGTTTTTTTTTTTGTCTATATTTAATGCTCCATGCATAGGCCGTAAACATTCGATATGACAGGTACTGTAGCACTTTTTAAGATTTTAAGGTGAAGCTAAACAAGGGCAAGCTATTTTGATGGATTGTTTGGCAAAATAACTCTAGCTAGTTTTCATGTGAAAGCTTCACGACTTGGGACTAGTTTTCTATAGCTTAACGGCATGCATTTCCATGTGAGAGCCGTTCCAACAGCTTCACGCGTGAGCTGAGTGACAAAAAAACGCGTTTGGCTGGTGAACCTGTCGGCGATCCATCCCAAACAACTCCTAAGACCTCATGATATACCTCACGATACATACAATATATGTTGGGTGTGACATAGAAGGCATATTCTATACATACTCTAGGGGGTGTTTGAAATTGTTTCACTTTACATTTTTCAGCTCCACTCTATGTTGTTTTTTAGCTAAACAGGTTCGGCTCCATACAACTCTGCTCTAAAAAAAAAGACGAAATTACGAGAGCATCTAAAATGGTGCTCCACAAACTATGGAGTTTGTAGAGCAGAGATCGTGAAGCAGTTCAAACATAGTGATCTGCTCACGCTACAATAGAGTATGTTCAGCGTGAGCTAGCATCAAATCTTAGCTGAGTGACTGATTGGTGTTGGAAAAAGGATGGTTATGTTATGCCATGGAAACCCATGAGCATTGCAATGATTAGCGAATAAAATTTCAATATAATCTCACTCTCAAATGCGTTTCATCGCCAACACCATTTTCACATTATGATTCTTTCCCCCTTCCGTACGACTCCAGGCATTAAGACATTATAAGCAAATTCATAGTCCCCTCAACATGACACACCATTCTTTTAGGGAACACTCACCATTCATTTTATTCTCTGGGAATAAACATGGCAGCTAATCTACATGTCCCGGGCACCGATCGAGCTCCCGGCTGCATCTCACCTGCTCTATGAATCTACGAAAGCGAAACGCAACAAGGCTCTGATTCAGACATTAAACCCCTCAGCACGGAGGCATCGCTTGTGAGCTTCGATCCACTTGGTGCAAGCAGATTCACCATGCTCGACGACGCACTCATCTCTCAGCCTCTTTGTATCAGGGCACGCGCAGCATATCTTCTTTTTCGGCTTCGATTCGGTAGCAGGAGCTGCGGTGGCGGCAGATGAGCCTCCGTTCACAGCTGGTATTTCAGGTGACGGCACGGCCACAGGCAGTGGGACTTCAGCGCTGCCCATTTTCAGCAGCAGTGTTTCGGGTACTGTTACTATCTGCAAAATGAGGGCAAAATTAAGGATTCTGAGCATCGCCAGGGCAAATATTTCCATAATCTCATCTGGAGTATGAGTACACAGCAACAATTGGATCAACTGCTTCCAGTAAAATTTCAGCAGTAATAACCAGTTCTCGTGAACTAGATACTCTTATTTTCTCAGACGCTTGTTCAGATAAACAGCCCCCCATGGTCATTGAAGAATGAAGGGAATTACGGAGATTAAGAGAATTTTAAAAAAAAGGCAGGTTTTTTAGCAGTTCTCACTCCCACACTCTGAAGTATCACCAAACCTAGGTAGTCTGAAATCTGAACGGAAATTGGCATATCACAACCAGAAAACGAAAAACCTAAGACGAGGCTAAATAGCACAGGTTTTTTAGCAGTTCTCACTCAACCTATGCAAAATGCTCCTTTGCTTAACCAATGCCTTACTCCATTCACCAAACAAGCAACAATTGAGCAACGGACTTTAATCTTCTAGCGGAACTAGGTTAGGTTTATCAACCAAGTTCATGAACCTTGCATCAATCGATTCAAAATCACGCACACAAGCAAACACCTATTATATAATAATAAATTCCAAAATCATACAGGCAACGGGGACTGTCATGTGGGGCAGGGCGAGAAAGGGGGAGGACGCTTGCCTTGCCTGGAGGAAGAACCCGCCGACGTTCGTTGCCGCGCGCCGGTGAACCTTGGGGCAGGGGGCGGCCGGCTGCGAATGGCCTGTCTCGTGCAGTCGTGCCGCGGCTTCTCTTTCTGCTTGCGGCGCGGCGGCCGTGCGCGTCGTCCTCTTCTCTTCCCCCTTCCTTCTTGCCGCACAAGAAAGAAAAAAGGCAAAGAGGCCGGCAAAACGGCCTCCGCGGCCCACGGACGTTGATGGGCTGTGGCCGCGAGAGGCGAAACCCACGGACATTGCTGGGCTGTGGCCGCGAGAGGCGAAACCGTTGGTAGGCGGCATGGGTCCGGTTAACATGGAACCCACCTGCCAGTGGCCACGTCACCTGTGACGTTTTACCTCGCAGGAACGGCCCTCTTCCCCGGTGGCCTTTTTCGCGCCACGCCGCCACTCGTCAGTCCGTCACACTCACTGACTCAACACACACTTGTGTGGTGGCCCGAGAAGACAAGTCGAATACGCATGAGCTACGTGCATCACCTGGCACACCCCAGGCTGAGAGAGACGCTGCACGAATACGATGCCCAGAGGTCCAACTCGTGCCCTGTGGAGGAAGCAAAATCTTTTGATTTTCCCAAGGCAAAGCAACGTCGCCGGAGGAATCACAGGAAGTTCAGTGCCGACGCAGCTTTCTTTGGCGTACGCCAAGGGCACAAACAGAAGGAACAAACGTTATTTCACTCGACAGAGACACGTTACACCACAGCACCGGCAGCCGGCAGCGCGGCTTGACCGCGACCAGCACGCCGCTTTCTTTGAGGGACAGGACCCAACACAACTCGTGATGACACAAGAGAGGCGTTCCAAAGCCCAAACCCTTTAATTATTCTATCATCACAACGGTATCACACGCCCACTTGGCATGCCAAGAGGCCGTCTGCAGTTTGCAGCTTGCAACTCTGGAAAGGAAGCACAAAAGGGGGGGAAAACCATGGTAAACCCACTCCACCTTTCTTCACCGGTGGCAGCTTGGAAAAGCATGTGATATGTGGGGAAGGGGTTTTGTTCATGACGAGGAGTTCTTGAGGACCCACTCCACCAGGGTGGAAACACCGAACCCGGTGGCAGCCCGCTTCTTGTCGTTCCACACTGGCCCGGCCATGTCGATGTGCATCCACTGGACCTTCTCGTCAACGAACTGCAAACAAGGGAGAGAGAGGCGGCAAGCCGTAAGTACCCTGCTCTGGAAGTCTTCGCCAAAGCATTCTTATCTCACTAACAAAAACAAAATTCTTATCTCACTAACAAAAACAAAAACGGTTCATTCGGTCAAAGCAGACACAAAGGAATGAGCATCTGTTATAGAGCTACTATGCACAAAGTTCATGCCACTCCAATGATCCTATCGCTCTATGATCAACTTTCATTTAGGTGTCAAAAACAGAAATGTACCTGTTTCAGGAACAGTGCAGCGGTAATAGAACCTCCCTGCCTACCACCAGTGTTGACCATATCAGCCACACCGGACTTCATAGATTCCCAGTAGCTCTCTTCCAGTGGCAGTCTCCAAAACTTCTCGCCTGATACCTCAGAAGCAGCGGTAACCTCCTTGGCTAGCTCATCGCTTGGCGTGAAAACCCCTATTGAGAATGTCTCTTTTAGTATGCAGAAATAAAATAATCTAATGCTCCATGTTCAGAGCACAAAAAGGGCTTGAGGGAGAAGGTGGATGTGTGAGCTAAACATTTGTTGAGCTTACCAGCGATGCTAGGCCCAAGTGCGATAACACAAGCGCCAGTCAGTGTAGCCAAGTCAATAATCTGCAATTGATAATTACAGATGAGTCAAGTACTCAACTAACTCAACACTAGCAGCATGTGGCCTACTTGCATAGCAATTCCAAAAGATAACAAAGCATCTTAAGAGCTTAGTTAAAGCAAATCTAAATCGAACTCTGCATAACCAATCCACTGCAACTCTAAATCGAACGTAGCCAAACATTTTACGACTGTACACTGACAAAGTGACAAGCGCAACTGCCTCGTTAAATAATGAATTAATTGTAGTGCATACTCCCTCCAATTAAAAATGTAGGCTGTTTTAGGATTCTCGTTGTTCAAATTCTATAGCTTGGCTCATCAACAATGGTTGATGTTACTAGATTCATTGTACAAATTACTTTCATAATTTATAAATGTCTACTTTTACAAAATTTTAAGCCAAACTGTTATATTGGAGATCATGTCAATGTCCTAAATGACTAGGAAATCAGAGGGGGTATTGAATTAATCATTTCCCCAAATGAGTAAGACTACATTAGAAATACACACTGACAACATGTACAGAGAACTTTAAAATGAAACTTTATTACCTTTTCAACACCTTGGTTGCAAGCATAGACCAAAGCATCAGCAAGTGTTAGCCTTCCCTCCGCGTCAGTGTTATTTACCTGATAAAATCCATTCACAAAGGTAAAGTTTAGTAAAAAACCAGCAAGCATGGAACAGAAGAACTATGGTCTATGACTGCTAAGACTACATTTCCAACAAGCAGGATAATAATAATATTGTGTTGGAGAAAATATACCTCAATTGTCTTCCCGTTGGAAGCAGTTACAATGTCACCGGGCCTCATGCCTGTGCCACTAATCATATTTTCACAGGCAGCGACTATAAAGTGAACCTGTGAGAAAGGAAAAATCGTAGAAATTTAACAAATACACTAATATGGATAAAAACCTCTACTTGTCATATTAGGAGGCTGTCAAAAATGAAGTACCTCTACTCCAGGAGGCTTGATTTGTCCCAAAGCTTTAGCTGCACCAAACACAGCTGCAGAGCCTCCCATGTCAAATTTCATCAGTTCGATGCTGCAGCCTGGCCCGGTCTTAATGTTGTAGCCACCACTGGATTCATAGGAAAACCAAAGATAAGAAAAATAACAAACTGTTCCACCTTCATGTCTACTACTAGGCTTTCATAAACCCACTAAATATATTTTTTTAAGTACTACAAACCTGTCAAAAGTTAAGCCCTTCCCAACAATAGCCAGCGTTCTCTTAACATTCCCATCAGTCGGTTTGTAACACAAATGGATGAAGTGAGGAGGGTTAGCAGAAGCTGCGGCAACTCCCAAGTAGGACCCCATCTTTAACTCCTTGCATTTCTCTACATCTAGTATTGTGGCAGTGAACACATCACTGTAAGTAGAAGCGATCTTTGACGCCTCCTCCGCAAGCACAGCTGAAAGGACAAAGGTTGACTGCAATAAGTATGCTGACAATAAATCTATGATGAACAATCAAAGTTTCATGAAAGATCTACTGACCAGGGGTAAGGACATTTGCAGGAGAGTTCACAAGCTCTCTTCCGAATATCACACCAGACGAAAGATCATTGGCATACTTAAGTTTCTGATCCACCTCGGCACCAGAACCCAGACCAATAATATCAACCTGCTTCAGGTGCACCTTTTTTGATTCAGACTTATATCTGCTGTCCTCATACAACCCTAGCACGGTTCCTGCGATTCAGGCCGGCAGAAAATTCAGCATCAATCCACTGCACTCCATAACCATCACATCAGAAAAGGAAAGGAATCGTGTGCAGGAGAATCAAGTACCGGAAGCAATTGCAGCTGCAGCAGTCAGCTTGAACTCTTCCTGGATCTCACTGGGGGAGGCAAGAACAATAGCAGCGGTGCTAGCTTGAGCGGCCTTGGCAACCGACGCGACGGACTCGCCGAGGCCTCGGCTAGCGGAGGCGGTGGATGGGGCGTTCTGGCCAAGACCGATCAGGCCCACCCTTTTGAAACCCTGCCCCGCGAGCCGGAGAACCACCGACTGCCCCGTCTTCCCGGTGAAATCTTCCTCCGCCGCAGCCTCCGACAGGAGGCCGCCGAGCTGGCCGTCCAGCTTCTTCAAGACGGCATTCTCGAACTTGGAGTCGGCGTCCTTGGACAGATCCTTCTCCGTGACCGCGACGGCGAGAATATCGCCCTTATACTCGGAGAATTCGACGTCTTTAGCGGAAAAGGTGACCTGGAAGAACGAGAGGAGTGCACAGGTTGAAGCTCACTCACTGCAGGAGGAAACAAGCGACTGACTTCCCAGTTCCCACGGATCAATCGGTAAATCTTAAACGAAGATGGACAGTTTTGGAGAAGGGAAAACGCTAGTTCTGATCTCGATCTAGCACTTATTTTTAGCGCGCAAACGAGTCACGATAAGTCAACCTACGACAGTAGCAGAAGCTTTTCTTGGAGATGGACTGTGGGCACTGACAAAGCAGGCGAATCCACGACGATTCGAAGCACTAGTAGACGGGAACCAGTGGCAGGAACACGCGCGAGGTTACACACACCTGAGGCGGCTCGACGGCGTTGGGCTTCGTGAGGCCGAGAGCGGGTTCGGCGGCCGCGGCCGCAGCGGCGGCGGTGTGCCCCATCCGGGCGCGGTGACCGAGCGGGTGGCGGGCGAGGGGCGGGAGGGGGCGACCAGACGACGACGCGAGTGCCGCGGGCGGCGCGCGGGACACGCTGAGGCGGCGGAGCAGGCGCGGCGAGCGGCGGAGAAGCCTGGAGGCGAACACGGCGGCGGAGGTGGTGGATGCGGCGGTGGCCATGGAGGCAGCGCGGAGGCGAGGTATATATCGGCCGCGGTTGCGTCCCCAGCCGTCCGATCGGGACGGCCCCCTTGTATGCGTCAGCCACTGCGGATACGGTACGGCTGCCCTCCGCGCTCCACGTCTGTGACTCTTACCTCGTGTCTCTGCCTGGTGGGACCGAAGGCAGATCGGCCCACATGTCAATGACGGGTTTCTTTGCATACGAGCTTGTCGTTGGAGAGGCCGGGAGAGTCCGTTCGTATTGGGCGTCGGGGTGGGGCGGGGGAGGCGTGTGCTCGTCGCCTCGTCGGAGCATAGCGTGCACCTCGAGGAGTCCTGCTCAGAAGAAAAAAAAAGTGGACCAGGCTTTACATTTTTCGGAGTTCCTGGATCAGATCACGATCGGGTTTGTTTTACGGAGAAGCGCGAGGCTGCAATGACGGAAACGACGGAGACACCAACTACCGCTCCGGCTCCACCGTTGGATCGCCAATGGTGGCAACGGCAGCGGCCGGAGCATGGCGTCACGGCGAGGAACGCCGGCGGTATCATCATTCTCCGAATCCAAACGTCCATCGTAACCTTGCGGCAGCAATGCTGTCACAGATTTCTATCAGATTTGGGACAAGAAGAAGGGACAGGGTTAAAAAAACACTAGCCAGGCATCAAGGGACAATGCTTTCACATCGCTCTGTACAAAAGCATCGGTACATGGAGATTTGAGAATGTATACACTTTACATGTATGGACACAAGATTACAGATTTGTTCTAACAGGGGGAATCCCCCAAGATAACCCAAGAGAGACTGCAGCTCCGTTTGTGGAACCTTTGTTTTTGATGAAATTGTGGAACCTTTGTTACAACAACAATAGATCTGAAACTGCTATGTACATCAAGAACCAGCGGTAAGCTTCAGTTTATCATGCTAATTATTAAGTGAACTGTTATATTAGGACTAACACGGCATTACTTCTCCCTAGCTTCCTGACAACAAAAACTGTAAGACAATAAAAGTGCCAACAGATTTTCTTGGACCATGGAGAATGCATACACTTTACATGGTATGGACACGCGATTACAGATTTGCTATAACAGGGGAATTCCCCAAGATAACAAGAGACAGCAGCTCCCTTCATGAGCTAAACGCGTTTGTGGAACCTTTCTTTACAACAGCAACAGATCTGAAAACTGCTATGTACATCAAGTGAACTGTTATATTAGGACTGCACAGCATTACTTCTCCCTAGCTTCCTGAAAGCAAAATTTGTAAGACAATGTCAGCGCAAACGGGTCTTAGACAAATGATACTACTGTTATATTGACATGACAGCTCCGTATCAGTAGCGGTTTACCTTGTCATACTGCCTGAAGGAGTGCTACAAAACTTTCTGCCACTGGTCTAGGTGATCAAGTGGCACGAAATTAGTGAAGTGCGTGCTATGTAGATGCAAGACGGTGAGTCACCGTCACCGGCCTGAAATTCCAAGCTCCAGCGATTCCCCCTTCTTGTGGGCAGTTAGTTTGGCCTTCTCTTTCGAAATTCCAAGCTCCAGTGATTCCCCCTTCTTGTGGGCAGTTAGTTTGGGCTTCTCCTTCTCTGCTTCCGTTTGGGCTCTTTTCTTTTCCAGCTCCAACTGCTTAACATTCTCGGCAAGGGCCTGCTCAAACGTCTTCGTGAAGCTTAGCAATGTTGAGACAACTGTACATACAAATGAGAAGCAATCATAACTGTTTAGAAAATCCAAAAGTAGATTGCTATTGATGTGAAGATTTGATGTGCTCTGATTTGGAACAGGAATGCTCAAAGCCAAGAAGCTATCTGTAACTCCTCAAAAACAAGTTGACTATATTTTAATATCCAAGTTACCTTTTCTTTTAGTTTAAACATGTCTAGTTACCTTTTCTTTTAAACAAACATGTCTCCCACACCTATAGACATCCATCTAGCTTTTGTACAGGGCCCATTTATCTTAGCTTTTGCACGATAGTAGGATAACTAAGCTTTTCAGCTCAAAAGAAAATACCTTGCTCAAAAGGACACCGCACGGGATCTTCACCAAAATAATGTGCTAGAGAATCGGCACTTTTCCCCTGCAAGTAAAATAACATTCTTTAGCACAAAGCGTGTGCTGCCTGCAAGCAGAAGGCATGCATAATGCATCAGGATAGTGATACTGTCGAGTCTTTGACATACCGCAGTGCTGTAAAGCAAAGCTAACGACCTTCCTTCAGCTTGGGCATCAGCAAGGAATAACTTCAATTTCTGAAATAAAAAAGAAAGATCTTCAGAGCATTATAATCAATATGCTAATAGTGTGATGATGGCATCTTCATCTTTTCCCCATCAGTCTATTGTGCATACTAGAGATACAAATGAAAGAACAAGAGACATGACTAGAAATAGAATGAATGTGGAATGTGGAACGTGGGATCCCATGTGTTAGGCCTCATAAAGTGTCTTTGGTGAGCTTTTCTTCCACAACTAAGCCACAAGCTCTATCACTATCCACTCTAATAGCACCAGTTATACTAAACTACTGGGAAACCAACCCTGTAAAATATCTCTGTCTCTGGAGGATCCTTTTCAGATGTTGCCAGTTCCTGCTCCACTTTTTCCAGTCCTTTAGTTATTGCTTGCATTTCTTCTGCTAACTCCTTTAGTTGTATCTGTTTTTACTCCAGCTGTCAGTAGAAGAACAAAACCACATGGATCTATCTAGCATTAGATCTAAACTACCTTTGAGGCAGGTTCTAAATTTGCAAGATCCCTGCTGAAGTCAAGAACTTCAGGAAGCTTGTCCGAAAGAATCTGTTCAAATAAAGAACTTTGAGAAAGAGCAACAGAGTTCATCAACATAAAATGAACAATGCAAACATGCCTGCATGTATTGGTACAAAGATACAATTCGTGGGGAAACTCAATGCTAATACAATGAAAGTAAGGACACTAGTTCAAAGTCACACAGATTGGTTGATGACAACCTTTTTCATGGAAAGGAGCTCCAGCTCACAGGAGGAGGAACAAATTGCAGGGGTGTATTTTGCCAAAACGGTATGTTTAATCTTCTAATATGGTCACTACAACAAAGGAAGAAAGGGGAACCACAAACTGGGCATTGGAGGTCACAGATGTAAAGAAATAGAAAGAAGAAGAAAAATGCTGAACACAAATCAACTCTTCAGCGCACTAATGAATGAAGGAGCGCGTTATGTTGCGACCGGTCGAGCGTTTTGGGAAGAGCCCGACTGTTCTTCTTCCTTGAACCGCACCAGCGTGCTCCCATCTCCGGACTCAACCGCCGCCCCCAGCAAGCGGCTTCCTGCCGCCAGCCGCGCCGCCCACCGCCCGCCCCCGCCACTCCATCCCGCCCACCCCTAACCCTAACTGGAGGAGAAGCTGGCTCCGCCCATTTGGTTGTCTCCCGCCGCCTCGCTCGCCGCCCCTGAACCCGCCGCCACCGCCGGTCCGGACGCCTCCCAAGGCCCCTCCCCCTTCTAAGGCCGCTGGGCATAGAGTCCCGAACGGAGGAAGAAGACAATGCGGTGGGTCACGCGCTCGTGCTTCTAAGCGTCGCGTCGCGTGAAGTTTGCTATGAATGAAGCGGATCAATGTCTACTTCTAGAAGAACCCTAACTGTAATCGGAACACTAGATTTTGTAAACCTTCAATAATGACCTATCACCTATGTCATATCATGATGCCACTATGTCAGCGATATGCTTAGACATAACCTTGTTAGACTGGATGTCTAAGGGAGAGGAGGGGGGAGGGAGGGAGTCACACCTTGCATAGATAATGCATCAGAGTCATCCTATTATTACGTGCCCGTATATCACTGAGCTTAAGAAGACTATCCAATCTAAATCCAACAGCTGCACCTGAAAAATGGACACATGTAAAAAACTAAAAAAAATTAGGTGAAAGAGCCAACATTCTGCTGTCAAATTTCATGAGGCTAAATCTTAAAAGTATGCCTTTTGCAAATAAATTAGAATACATATATGGTTTTTGGCTGTTGCAGGTTATCCAGTTAGTTGTGCACGCAACTAAAAAATACGCAACTAAAAAATACTGTCCAAAGGAAATAACACAAAAATCAACTGGAAATTTTGTCTTGTGTAATGTAATATTTCCGGATTATTTTCCAAGTTGATTAAATTATAGCAAAAAAGGTGAGCCTCGCAGAGAACATGAATGCAAGATATACACTAGTCATAGAATTGCAGTGAAATTGGCCGTGCAATTGGAAACTGGAATATTTTAATCGCAGTTGTACAGTTTTGCTCCAGCTCTTAATTTCCTTTAATCAATATTTTTGTATAAAAGCATAAGCCAACTATGTAATGAAATTAAATAAGAACCAACTGATAGCGTGAAACACTGAGCATTGTGTTCCTCCATGTTGTGTCATTTATTTGTAGGGTGAATACTGGTATTGCACATGGTTCGCTGACTCACCCCTTGCAGTTCCTTGGTTTAATGCGTTCCCCAAAGAAAGAATCGTCTGCATCACTCGCTTAAGTTTCAAAGAGCTCCTAACCTGGTCATGCAACATTGTACATGAACATTCGTTACATGTCAGTAAAGTGTGGAGATTACTTGATTAAATGATTTACAGCATACCTCTTCAGCAACCGAATTGATGGTATTCAAATTACTTTTTAGGTCCGCAACCTGAAAGAATATAAAGAATGATGCAGCAATAGTTTAATGTTTATATATTTATATACAAGAACAGTAATACAACCCCATGGGAGGAAGCATTTCACAAACATGCAATGTACTTCTGACCTGTGTAACAAACTTTATCTTAAATGACAAAATTCTCAGTTTTGACTCCACCCTTGGTACTTTCATCATCTCCAAGAAAAACTACAAACACAAAAGAAAATCAGCAATGGAGTTATTGATTCAGGGATTAACTGCACATTTTAAGATGCATGGAATGGGTTAATAAATGAGGGCCATATATCCCAGAGGTAAACTAGCTATACTGATTGTAGAAAATGGCCATCTCACCATACCAACTCACAAGAAACAGCCAAAGATTAGACACGAATATTTAAATTGTGTCCATCTTGCAATCTTCCTGCTTATGATCAGTGTAAACTAATCCTCAATTCTAAATAGTTGACACTTTCTTAGCCCTCGGTGGGATTTCTAGAACAACACTAATAACTATAACTATAACCATCATTTACCATCATCCACTTTGCAAATTGTTTGCCATGCTTGTTTTAGACAGATTTTTTTTCAATTTATGACCTTCTTGGTGTGTGTGATTTGATCCTAAGTGCTAGTATTTAGAAATGGAGGAAGTAGCTCGCCCCTCCATTTAGGTCTAATGTAAGGAACAAGCTCTTTCCTGTCCCTTAATGGTGGCATATGCACTTTTTCCCAATCATTTACCAAACATAATTCGTCGTCCAAGGAGAATAGAATATCACAGGGGAAAAAAAGAAGACCTGTTCACAGTTCCCTAGGTTCTCCTTTTTGCCTGTATAACCCTGAAAATTTTGAAAATTACCATGTCAATATACGAAGCTGATGGAAACAAATACTGCTGGTATACCAGAATACAATTCACGAGAAAACTAATAATATTTCAAAGCGGAATAGAGCAGGAAGAAAAATGTACTTTGAGTAGTTCCATTTCTTCCTTAGTTGGACAGAACTTTATTAGGTAATCTACTTGATCACCATCAACTATGGAATCATCAAGGGCAAGCACTGAACCCTGAAAGAGAAAAAAAATAACCATCCACGTAATCAATACAATCAGCAAATATTGTCAGAAGGAACACCAAGAGACTTTATTTTCAGCAACAGATGTGATGGACTTATTAAGGTACCCGGAAAGATCGGTTCTGTCAAATAACTTATTATTAACATGAGCTTGAGCTAATCTATTCTTTAACCTTCCAGCAAGGCTGTGCATCAATTATGCTTGAATTCTTTCTTACTTATCAAGATACTAATCCTAATAACCCTACAAAGATATTGCTATCTTAAGATAATGTCACTACAAAGTTACCATTAGATCAGGCAGTGGCATCTTAATGTTTCTCAGCATAATTTCACAATTCTTTGAGCGCTGAAGGTCAATCTGCATAGGAGAAGTGCAATGTTAATTGTTTTATTTACACTTAAGTTATCATTTAACTACTTAGATGAGAATAGTTGCATAAATCGGAATGGATAGAAGTACCAGATGAACTTTTTCTTGCTTTGTTGCAACAGAAGGGTGTTGCCGTTGCCGTTTTGCCTCCATATTTGGCATCGTTACAGAGAAAAGACTTTCAAGCTCAGAAATATCAATCTCTGGAGTCCTGATAAAGATAAGCATGGATAAGTATATTCCCTCCCCCCCAAAAAAAAATCAACTAGAAAGAATTCCATAAAAGAATGTTCTTATTATACCTAGATACTTCATCAGACTTCTGTGTTTCAGCCCACAAACTTCCCTGTATTGCTCTTGACACTTTCACCCAGTGCAATGGCTTCAGCGGGGTCCTTTTAGATGCCTGGTTGGCACGTAAACTTCTAGGACTTTTTGAGCGGGCTGTGCTACGATCCTTTGCACCAAATGAAAATGCTGGAGGTGGGGGAGGGTTAGAATTGGCAGCACTTCCCTTCGTAGGTAAAGAATGTGACGAAAGCTTATGATGGGGGCCTGGTGGAGGTGGAGGTGGTTGGATTGTTGGTGACTTCTGTGAAGCATTGTTGGCCACAGCAAGTTTAGGAGGAGGTAATGGGGGTGAAGGTGGTACTGATGGTGCAGAAGTAACACGGGATGACAGTGGTGGTGGAGGCGGAGGTGGATGAGGGGCTGCCACGCGATTTCTTTTACTTAAGGATGGAAAACTTTGTGAAGGGGGAGGTGGTGGAGGTGGAGCAGGAGGTGTTTGAGAAGAATGTGGTGGTGGAGGTGGAGGTGGAGGTGGAGGTGGAGGTGGAACAGGCGGTGTTCGAGATGAAGGTGGTGGAGGAGGTGGAACAGGTGGTGTTCGAGAAGGAGGTGGAGGTGGAACAGGCGGTGTTTGAGATGAAGGTGGTGGTGGTGGTGGTGGAGGTGGAACAGGTGGTGTTTGAGAAGGAGGTGGAGGTGGAACAGGCGGTGTTCTAGATGGAGGAGGTGGTGGAGGTGGAACAGGCGGTGTTCGAGATGGAGGAGGTGGTGGAGGTGGCACTGGCAGTGATCGAGGAGGTGGAGGAGGTGGAACAGGCGGTGTTTGCACCCGCGTATCACTGTCTGAAAATGTAGGCGTCAAAGACAGGGTGTCTGGATATTCCATCGTTGCACTGTGCTTGTTATCTACAAACTGCGGTTGAGACAATGAGACTTCAGGTTTATTAAGTAGTGGAGAAGGCGGAGGTGGTGATTGTGTCTGTGGAGAGGAAAATGGTGGAGACCGAGTTATCTTTTGTGGATCTGGAATTACAGATACAGCATATGGATTTGAGCTTGAAAATGGCGCTGATGGTGGTGGGGGTGGTGGATGTGGAGGCTGATGTGGTACAACTTTTTCTATAGTGATTTTTACCTCTTCACCATGTGTCAAAGGAAACAACATCATGCCTGATTTTGGTGGAGGCGGAGGTGGTGGTGGTGGTGGCGGTGGTGGCATAGTTTCAGATCTTGTCGCTTGAATTGAAAAGGGCCTAGTGTCTGGATTTTGAGGTACTGCAGGCAAATCCGTCAGGAGAGATGCTCTTGGATTGCTTAATTCCTCATCCAGTGACGATGAAGCAGCTGGTGACAGTAAGAAATCATTGGGACCTGTAGCACTATCAGTTTGTAATTTCCCACGAGTTTCGTAGGAAGGTTCTTGTGATTTAACCAGCTCTTCGGTTCTCAAAATATCTTTAGGAGGGACTGATGGTTCTGAAGGTGGAGAGGAATGCACGGTTGCTCTAAGGGAAATGCTGATGGTACTTGTGCTAGTATTTTTGGGTAACTTATAGGGAACAGGGAGTAACGAGACAGTGGGTGGAGGGGGAGGAAGAGGAGGAGGTGTGCACAAAGGTATCAGAGATGCTGTTGATGCTGGTCTGTTTTCCATCAGAGGGGAAGGTTCATGTTCAATTGGAGTTTGTGAACCAGACCTCTCAGTTGATGCTGATTCTGATATCTCTGATAATACTTGGACTGCAGAGTCAGACATCGCTCGCCGAGGCTGAACCGGTGAAGATGATTGTTGTGGCATGATTGTACTTGAAGACAGGTCCATTGGTGAAGCACTGGTTTTTGAAATCTTAACCTTAGAAGGTGATAACAATGCTGTGGTGGGTCGCGTTCGCGAACGAGATGGCACTGTAGTTTGTGATTGGGATTGAACATCAGCTGAACTTGAATCTTGGGGGATATGTCTCGGTTTAGTGCTGACCAGCATACCCAATTCATTTCCGATCTTCAGAACAACACTAGAAGAACTAATTTCACCAGGAAAACTTTCAGATTCAAGTTCTTCACGAGTATCAAAGAAAGTCTCAGGTTCATCGGTAATGGATGAGATTTTTAGCTGGTCTGTGTGAGGTATAGTATCCTTCTTCCCATCCAACCAGTCCAAATGGTTAAAAATATCTAGCACCTTAGCAAATTCTTCAACCCCAAGTCCTTGTTTCTCTTGATGAATAACAGGCTCTGTTGTGGCATGTGAAGTAACTGCGTCCATATCGGAAAAGATAACCTACCATCAACAGAAGTTGCATGTAAAAATTCATGTACTGCAGGAATAGTCTAGTTCGCCACTTGGCATAAACACTTACCTCAAACCGAAAATCTTTAGGGAATTGGTGTTTTGCATTCCATAACATGTCTATGTGATCACGATTAAGCATCAAGATGTTTGACCGGATGAATGCTGTATTGAACATGATTCGGAAAACCATCTCTTCACGATCCAGATCCTCATACAAATTGATACACTCTAGGACAACATCACCTTGGACATGACACTGAAGGCCTATTTTCACCAGTTCATCTGCCTAAGTTCAGAAATGGTCAATTCCTTTCTAGTATGTTTCAAGAGATTTATGACATGGAAAACTATTATACAAGACAGTACAGTAGCTAACAGCTTAAAAGCAGAACAACGAATGACCCGGTAGAAGATAATTACCTGTGAGTAAAAACGGACAAGGTTGCTTTTCTTTGGAGTTGAAAAAAGAACTTTTGGAGTCTGATCAGGGGGCATGAGTGGATCCGGGCCGTATATCCTGAATATTGGACGGAAACCACCTTGACCGTGAAAATTTGGAACCATCCTCAAAATAACACAATCTAATGTGAGGGCTCTATCAGCTGGAGGCCATTCAGGCATGACATTCCTCGTTGAGATATAGCGCAAATATCTCATTTGAGAAGGCATGGAATTCAGAGGTGAAAACATCTCCAAAAGCTCCAAAGACGATTGCTTGTAGACCATATCCAGTGTTTTCTGCTCGTCGGAATAATGCCCCAGGTATATTAGAAGAGCAGCTAACATGAAAGCCAGAACAGGCCAGCTCCCTCGTTCACAGTGCATTAACAGTAAGTTATGCTGACCCAAGGAAAGCCAGCTTTCGCTGGACTTCAAGATGCAGTGGATCATTTCCATGGTGAGGAGTGGACATCCCTCATAGTGGCCAGGGTAGTCCAATACAGTCATACCATACTCAGACAAAATATGGTATATAGGGCTTTCTTCCTCTTTAGTCCCAAAATTCGAAATCATGAATGAGTGGTCGCGAAAATTTTCCAGTAGATCTGCTGCAATGCCTCTAATGTGAGCTTCGAAATGGTCCCCTTCCACCTCTTTCATGGAGAAGCAATGATCAAAAACTGAAACAAAATATAATAATCTGTGAGTCAAACATGCAAAGCAAGTGTAACTCCATGTAGCTATTTAGTCGTGTCTACATCAGTTGCTACTGATGGTACACGTACTATTGTTACCATCATATGTGCCTTATGAAGTCATGATTAATGTAAAATTTGAGTGTTCAAGCAACCATCCATCTTTCAATCATTATGTAGTCCTTTGGACAAATCTTAAAGCATTCTAGAGGGCCATGGTAATTGGTAATACATGTAGCTACATATACTAGTGCATTTGCATAATTTCATTTTGAGATCACCGGGGGGATGAACTATCCCCACCTGAATTTCATTACCACAGATTCCGGCAAAAGCCGGCAATGGTAGTTACATTTTTGGGTCATGAGCCCAGAGTTACAAAACAAGAGAGGCGACAAAGCAGATAAATATGAAAGCTAAAAGGATCACTAAAACTTCCTAACTCTACAATTCATGCGTGATACACCCAAAATTGAAGCTTTGAGAGCAATTGCAGGTGAATGCTCGGAATTTTCTGATTGCACCTTCCTAAGCTCATCACAGCTCAACTAAATCAAGCTTATAGAATGCAGATAACGTCATATCAATCGAATTGAACTATTCCTTGCACTAGGCTGCTAGCCTGCTTGGGGCCTAGGGCACAAGCACAACAAGCATTTGTCTACTGGACGCAACTAAAGGAAGGCACGGAGGAATGCAAAGGAAGAGCTCCGTTACCGTAGATGTTATCTGTGATGAGGAGCAGCCCATCGGGCGGCTTCTTATAGAAGAACTTCCGGAACAGCGACATGGCGCGGCAGGACCAACAGCTCCAATCTCTGGATCACTTCTGTTCGCAGGAACTCCAAGAGCTGGCTCAACTCAACTCCAGCAATCGATTCGGTTCAATCTTTCGCAATACAGCTGAAGGATACGCTACGCCGAGAATCCCGCCCCACCGAACTCAATAGCTTGCCCAGGCCGTGCGGATTTGGGTTTGGGCCGCTAATTGCTGCGACGTACGTACTGTAGCAGGAAGATTACAGGCAGATAGGAAAGAGCTGCTACTGCTCCGGCTCCGTTGAATCTCTTGAGAACTCCGAGGGTTTGGAATCAGAGCGCGCAGGGAAAAAACAGGCGTATTTCAGTTGGCAATTTGAGAAATGAGAAATGGTAAGAGGAGAGAGATTGGAGTTGGGCGGGGAGAAGAAAAGGCAGGAGGAAGACGATAAGCGGTGGCGTTTGACCTTATTTAATTATTTTATTTATTATTAATTAGGCGCAGCTGTTATTTTGTTTTCCTACTAGATGCTCCTTGACTCTACCCTTTGGCTGCTTAATTCTTTATTGTTTCGTCAAAATGGCTTATTTTTTAAGAAAAAAACTGATACTTCATCATTTGATAATAATATTTCCAGATCGAACAGATATATGACCCGAAGGACTTACTTGATTCTTAAATTTGGTTTACCAACTCTAGATTTTCAAATCATACTCTTGGGGTTTCATAGATCTCTCTCTCGGTTATTCTTCATTTTCAACAAATTAATTGATGAAAGCTACGTTGTAGAAAGGGTGTTCCTTGGATGAATAGCTTGTTAACAGTTGCGTTATTTTTTAAAAAGAAAATTGATGTCGATTTCTTGTAACAGGTCAAGAAGTGTCCGTTGCTTTCACAATTATTTTCCCCCCTCCAAAATCTGTCCTTTTTTTAGTTTCTATATCTACGCAAAATAAAGTGACAGAGGGTTTGTAGTTTACAATAACTGATAATAACTGAAAAACGAATCAGGAGGCAGTGACGTGCGATTCGGGGATCTCGAGTAGGGTCGGCGGCAGTTGGTCGTTGGATTTGCCGCTAAGTTCCGAACGAAACTTTTTACTGGAATCGTCATTCCAGGCAGGATGCGGCAGTGATGCTATTTGCTATCTGGAGCCAAAGCAAAACCAAAACTGATTGCTTTGTACGTACAAAAGAAATTGTTAATGCATTGGTACTAGATAACAATGCCTAGTGAAATTAGTGAATAAAGTACTATATTATTGTACAAAGTGGCCAAAGGAAACTGTCAATTTCGTCTTTGTCGTCAGGGGAGCTGGAAGCTCAAGTTAACGTGTTACGTGCCCCGGTAGGTGGCTGACGTGAGACGTGACGATGATTGGCGGTGCCCGTGGTGTGTTGCCCAAAGTTTCGTTCATGTGCAGCCCACAAGCTTGTGCTGTGCCCGAAGTCCCAACTCCCAAAAAGGAGTTGGAAGCACGTCACCTGCCTGCCGGCGTGCTGCTGCTCTGCTGTGGAATTTCCTTCGCGGTGGGTAACGCCATCGTGGGGCCCTCCTCTCTTTCCTATCCTATCCTACTAGTCCTACGTGGCCTTGCCAGAATGCCAGTGGCCACCTCTGCTGCGATTTCGCAAAGCCTTCTCGTGGGCGTCGGACGGTCGCGGGCGTCCATCAACAACGACGCGCGTGTGTAATGCCAGGGACAGGCAATCATGGCTTGGATCATCGTTCTGAAAAATCCCCGTCGGCCGTCGCAGTCTGCTGCGAGATTGGGCGGCAGCTCATCTCATCATCTCAGGGCCTCAGGCGTGCGATGCGAACGAAGCTGATGAAGTGGAGCACGAGGAAGGAGGTCAAGGTCCAGCCGACGAGCGGCAGAGCAGGGCCATGTGTTCCACGTACGCATCCACCCAATCATGGACTCCGCTTCGTCGCTTCTGCAGCTAAGCTACTAACCGGGCTGGGGAACACAACAGGCACCAGGCACAGGCGAGAGGGAGCGCATGCACGCCGCCATCAACAGCCCCCGTTGTCCGCGTCGGCAAGTCCAAAACCACGTCCACCTGTTTGCCAAACCTAACACAGCATCTTCTAGAATAAAATTCATTCGGAAGGAGTTAACAAACTTTTTTTTTTACCAGAAGTGATTCTATAATGATTTGGTGAAGTGAATTTTGAAAGCAAGCTGAAAAATAGCTTTAAAAATCACTTTTTAACTACACAAAATCACTCCTGACAAAGAATCAAGAGTAGGAGATAGACCGCACAGTCGGTGAGACCAAAGCTAGAGAACGGCGGCAATGTTGAACTAAAAACTAAAGTTTATCCCGAAGAATCTTTAAAGTCGTTTTTTTAGCTACAGAAATCATTTCCCACGAAGCATCAAGAGCAGGAGAAGAGCCCGCATAGTAGGCGATACCAAGATCGGGGAGCGATAGATCAGACCCGTGTGGCAACATTGAAGCTTGCAACCTATATTGCACGTCTTTTTGTGGACAACATGTAGGCTCCGACTAAAAGTTAGTGGCGGCCAAAGTGAAAAAAATGTCGGTTATCTTGAGGGAAGTATAATTCTTGCTTTATTTGAGAAAAAGACAATAAATGTTTTTTAGCCATAAAAAACACAGAAGGATCGACAGAGAAAATATAGCCTAATTGCCTAACGCAAATGCAAACATGTGATCGTTGCACATACCGCAGACGGCGCCCGTGCTCCACCTCTGCCTCTCCCACGCGCCCGTGCTCCATCGGAGAGGAAGAAGATGGCGGCCGCGTTAGGGTTAGGGCTCCGGCGAGGTTAGGGATCTATCCTCGATGGTTCTAGAAGGGGGTTTGGGGGAGGCAGGCGCGACACGACAGTGGTGCACGGGAGAGACGGCGGTCGGGCGAAGCGACGGGAGAAGAAGGTTGGGCGGGGCCGACGGTGAAGGCGTCGCGGTGGAGCTCGCCGGCGCCCTGCTCTCGGATTAGGGTGGGCGGGGTCGAGAAACGGGGCGGGTTGAGGGTGGCATGGCAAGGCAGTTCGTCGCCGCCCGACGATGGTGGGGGCGGGGGCTAGAACGAGGGGAGAGCTCGCCGGTGGCTTTCTTGAGTTTAGCGGAGGGCAAGGGAGAGGGTGGAGGAGGAGGGGCTCAAGGAGGGAGCGTCACGACGAGGAAGAAGCCCCTCGCACAAATCTTGTCCATTGCCTAATCTCCTCTAGTACGATAAATTTAAGGAACATGTGATGCTGTTGGGGAAGTCTTGAAATGCTCTTATCCCTTGGTTCTCGAGTCATGAATTCAAGTAACGTTTTTTTTTTTACTCACATTCGCGTGCAAACCTGCAAGAATTTTGGAAGAAGCTGTGCATGGTGTTCGATTATGCTGAAATTTAGTTTATGTTAAAATATTGTGACAGAAAAATACTATTTGATATCTGAAAAAGTAGATTTAAGCGAACAGGCTGGCCTACGAGTTCGCCAAGACGCCAGCACAAAAAAACAGTACCTGCCGCACGGGCACATGGCCGCCGCCCCCGTACCTTATACGCGGGCCCCATGACCAACGCTCCGGATTGGCTCATTCCCCTCGCTGGCATAATCAGGCCGTCCATCCGTCAGGCGCAGACCGAGTATAAACCCCAACCTCGTCCTCTTCCTAGCTCGCTCTCGCGCCCCAACCCCTTTCGGGCAACCTCCCCAACACCAATCAATCCGCGCGGCCCCAGTTCGATCGAGGCTAGCCGGTGGATTCAATCCCTGAAATTTGCCCAAATTCGAGAAACTTAACTGCTCCCAACCCGGCCGCCGATCCGCTCCAGCGCCGCTGCCCGCGCGCGAAACCCTAGAGAATGGGGGAGACGTCGTCGTCGTCGGCGGCGGCGGCGGCGGAGTTTGAGGAGCTGATGCGCCAGAGGATAGAGTTCCACGCCGCCGCCGCCAAGCCCCTTGCCGTGGCCGTGCCGGAGGGGTTTCGGTTGGCGAGGGGCCTCTTCACAGACGATGAGAGGCGAGTGGCGGCCGCGCGGAGCGGGCGACACGGCGGGAGGCTCCACATTGGGGAGAGCAGCGGGAGTGGGCTCGATCCGGAGGTCGGCGCCGGGAGAACCTTCCCGCGGAAGATCGTGAGTGCGCACGACTCGTGGTTTCCCTGTCGCGGTCGGTTTGCGCTCGCTAAGTGGAGCTGCTGCTGCAGTTTAGTGGCTTTTTTTGGTTGGGTGATGGATCGTCATTCCTCTCTCGGAGTTGTCCACTTGTCCGTTTTGTTGTTCGGGAAGCTGCGATTTCTTCAACGTTGCCTGGTCCTTGCGGATGATGATTTGCCGTTTGTGCTCTGGATTTCCTGCATTTTATTCTACAATCTTACCGCATGAATCAGTTTTGGATTTCCTGTCGCCAATTTTTTTTTGTCCTTTTTGCGCTTTAAACTCGGGTCTCTTTACATGTTCCATTGGGGGCGATTCAACTGAAATTTATTGAGGGGCTATGCTCATTCGGTTAAACTGAACCATGCTGAGTACCAGCTGAGAAAGCATTCAACTGAATCATGCGAGTGAAAACATTGATTCAAGGGGCTCTGCTCATTCGGTTCAACTGAATAATGCTGCGTATCAGCTGAGAAAGCATTCAACTGAATTATGCGAGTGAAAACATTTATTTGAGGCACTCTGCTCGTTCGATTCAATGGAATCATGCGAATACCAGTGCTGAGAAAACATTCAACTGAATCATGGGAGTGAAAGCATTTAGTTGAGGGGCTCTGCCCATTCAATTCAACTAAATCATGCGAGCGAATACATTTGTTTGAGGGGCTATGCGCATTCGATTCAACTGAATCATGCGAATGAGAACATTTATTTGGGGAGCTATGCTCATTCGGTTCAACTAATCATGGGAGTGAAAACATTTATTTGAGGGGCTATGCCCATTCGATCCAACTGAATCATGCGAGTGAAAACATTTATTTGAGGGGCTATGCACAGTCAATTCAACTGAATCATGCTAGTGGAAGCTTTTATTTGAGGGGCTATGCCCATTTGATCCAACTGAATTGTGCGAGTGAGAATTCACTGAGGTTGGTTGGTGTATGCAATGCAGGGGGCTGGCTTGCACAACATCGGCAATACGTGCTACCTCAACTCGGTCCTACAATGCTTGACGTACACAGAGCCATTCGTAGCCTACCTGCAGAATGGCAAGCACAAGTCCTCATGTAAGCTTTCTGCCGCTTGCAACCAGACAATAGACATTCCACATATATGCATGGTGTTGCCTGCTGAGTGCTGACTCACTCTTTATTTTCGGATAACATTTAGTTGAGTATACCACTTTTTTACACAAGGTTTTGGGCTACATATATGATTTGGTTGTTATCAATACCTGATGATCACTTGATGATCAATAGAATATCTATTCTATACTACCTTCTTATCTACCAAACATGTATATACCAGTGGACCAGTGGTATATAGGGAATTCACCCTCTCAGGCCTTTCTTTTGCCAAGTGCTACACTTCCTTTAGGACACAAATGTTGTTTCTGTGATTATTTTTAATTCAGTTTGTAACTTTTTATAGGTCATATTGCTGGATTCTGTGCATTGTGCGCTCTTCAGCACCATGTTCAGTTTGCTCTGCGGTCATCTGGGAAAATTCTGACACCACGGCTATTTGTCAACAACTTAAAATGTATCCTTTCATGTATAACCTAATTCAGTGGTTCCTATTCTTTTAAATTATAAAATATGAAAAATCTACCTACATTCATTAAAAAATAGACGAGCAATTTTGTCATTTGGGACTCTACAAACTCCTCACTGAATTTAACACACAATTTGCATGACTTCCAAAAATTGACACCCAACATGCGAATTGTTTCAGTTTGGTCTTGTCCTCCCTTTTTCTCAATTTTCATCCTTTTAATTTTTGTTTTCTATTCCTGGCCATGTGTTCTTTCCCCCTTGCTCATTATTGACACCCGACACGCGAATTGTTTCAATTTGGGTGTTTTCCTCCCTTTTTCTCAATTTTCATCCTTTTCCTTTTTGTTTTCCATTCCTGGCTGTGCGTTCTTTCCCCCCTTGCTCGTTCTATCACTTTTTGCATCCGGTCTCTCGAACAGAAGTGCCGCAGCAGCCGCTAGCGTTCATGACCAGGAGGCCGATCGGCGGATGTGGGCAGCTGGAACGTCATGTACAAATAGCATGATCCCATCCCTAGCACCAGTGGCGCGCGCACTTGCCTAACTCTAGTGGCGCCTGCGACACGGAGGCGCGAGCATAGTCAAGTTGAAGGCTGCAGCGGAAGGGGGCTTTGGCGGTGGTCTACTCAGCGCTGGTGGCTGCGGAAGAGCCTCTGAGCCTAGTTGCCGTCGGGGAGCTTCGATGGCCGCAGTGGCCGAGAGGAGCGGGAACCACATTGAGAGAGACGGGCGAGAGTGAGTGGCTTGTGGGTAAGGCAGGGGCAGACTCGGAATTTGATGTCGGCTGGAAAATGAGGAGAAGAAAAGGTGAAAAAGAGAGAATAGCTTGAACTGAAAGAATTCACACGCTGGGTGTCAATTTCTGAAAGGCACACGAATATGTTGTCAAATTCAGTGAGGCGCGCGTTGAATCCCAAGTAACAAAATCTCTGAATGAGCTAATGGTTATAGTGAAATCCTTAACTGCAAGGCAGGCATTTCTCGTAATTTCCGTTACTATAGGCAGGAAGATGCACATGAGTTAATGGTTAGCTTGCTTGAGTCAATGCACAAATGCTGCTTACCATCTGGTATAGCAAGTGAGTCACCAAGTGCTTATGAGAAGAGTCTAGTTCACAGAATATTTGGCGGCTGCTTAAAAAGTCAGGTATTGTTAATTGCATAATTACATTTGTACGAGTGATATCAAAGGGAGCTATATTTGTCATAAATGCTGACCGATGTTTATATACACATTGCAGGTGAGATGTACAAGGTGCTCCCATTGTTCAAACAAATTTGATCCTTTCCTGGATCTCAGTGTCGAAATTGGCAATGCCGCCACATTGATGAAAGCACTTTACAATTTTACCGAGGAGGAGCTATTAGATGGTGGGGAAAAGCACTACAACTGCCAGCAGTGCAAGGAGAAAGTTGTGGCAAAGAAAAGGTTTCTTATTGATAAGGCTCCTTATGTGTTGGCAATTCATTTGAAACGCTTTAGTCCTTTCAACCCTCTTCAAAAGATTGACAAAAAGGTTGATTTTCGAACAACTTTGAACTTGAAGCCATTTGTCAGCAATTCAGAAGTGAGTTATTACTTTTCTGGAAGTAGAAGTGTAGTAGCTTTTCATAGTATAGTTTTGTATTTGTGTTAGTTTGTTTATGTATTGCCCACACCCATTTTTTTTGTGTAGGGTATGGATTTGAAATATAATCTCTATGGTGTTTTGGTTCATGCTGGTCGGAATACACAATCAGGTCATTATCATTGCTTCATCCGGACGTCTAGTGGGTTGTGGCACAATCTTGACGATAACCAGGTTGCAATTCCGATCCTTCTATAGATTTAACCTATTTGACTTGGTGTTGATCCATGCTGTGGGTTTTTTATTCTGACCAGTGGCACCTCATGCATTTTTGTTCTTTCTCTTCCCTAAAATATCATCTTTATTCGTCTTCTGCATACCTCCGTCCAAAACATCTTGTCCTGTCAGTTAAATAAAGGTTCAAAATGCATCTCATGGAATTTATATACTTCGGTGGTCCCTACTCACTAGAACTTGCCTCAGTATAATTTCTATTGTCAATATAGTAGTAAGTAGTTCCATGCTGTGCTTGTGCCAATGGTTTTGCATCATTGCTTAATGTAACCTCTTGTTTTTATCATACACATGTCAGAGACCTCGTTTTGTATCACTGTTTTGTACAAGGGCCTGCTTTTTGAAGTGGTTTGGGTTGTGGGTGGCTTTGAATGGGGTGTCTGTATGGCCAAAGGAGGGAAATGAGATTTTTGCTCTGTTTGGTACTGTGGTTGTTCCCAATGATTATTATTGGTGTGCTTAAGTTATTGCAGTACCTTATGTGCATCAGCGGCATGCTTTATTTGAATTATGCTCTTTGCCCCTTTTGTTGATTATTTGTGGATACTCCCAGGTTTGCCAAGTCCGTGAGCAAGATGTACTAAAGCAGAAAGCATACATACTATTTTATGTGCGTGAAAGAGTGAGGAGCTCCGTAATCCATAAAGATAATGGTGCTTCCAGTTTGTCAGAAAAGGAAATGTTTTCTGAGAAGATTGCATGTATGAATGGTGTAATTCAAAATGCTTTAGTGGAGAAAACATTGGATTTTTCCCTAATTACTAAAGTAGATACAGAGTTGCAGATGCAGAACCCAGACAAGGGTCAGCCCAGTGATATTAGTGCAGTTTCTCGTGACCAGTGTTCAAATGAACATAGCAACATTGAAGATGTTAAAGCTTCAACGTCTCAAAACAATGCACCTGTACAGAAAGTCCCATGCACACTCCCAGATAGTGCTGATGCCTTGTCCACTAAAGAAGAGCAAATAACAGAGTGTGTTCAGAGGGAGATAATTTCTCCAGGACAGCCTGAGGTTTGTATTCGTGATATGAAGACACAGAAGCTGAATCCAGATAATGATCAGCCCAGCAATATTAACACCACCATCTCACAGGACCAGTGTTCAAATGAACATGGAAGCACTGAGGTTACTAAAGATTTAACATCCCAAAACAACAAGCTAGTACAGAAAGCCAGATGCACAGATCCAGATGGTACTGCTACATTGTACTCCAAACCAGAGCAAATAACACCAGCTAATCAAATGGAGACAACATCTATAGGACTGCCTGATGCTTGTATTCCCTGTGATGCAAGCTCTGATCAGAATGCATATGAGAAGCCATTGCAGGACGTGCCACTAGAATCTGATAGTGCACTCGTTAATTCAGGCAAAGACATCTTTAATTCTGCTTTGCAGTTATGCAATGGTGTTGAAGGATTATTGGGGGCAAACGAGCAGGCTAATGAACCTCGAACCTATGCATTTTGCAAACCCACTCCTGATAGTGATGCAACAACTATTGCACAAGCCATCCCAACTGAGGTAACCCTGTGATGTTTCCGTTGTTGCTTCTTGATCCTTTCCATACTTTTTGGGTTTTCATTACTTTATATTGACTCTAGCTCTTGCAAACATGGTAAGGTTACTGCTGTTTCTAGTGGAACAATATCCGGCAACAAAGATTCAACTAGTAATGATGAAGCTAAAGGACAAGTTGTGAAGGAGCTTTCTGTGAAAAACATTGATGATAAAGTAAAAGAAGAGGAGCAGGTAATTGTTACAAGCCCTGCCATTACATATTTTCCTTGCAATGCTATGGACCAATATTCAATGCATGCACACATGTAAGTCAACCTGCTGAAGACAATGTTTCCTCCTATTTAGCAAGTGGTGTGTCATGCATTCACTGCTATTCTATTCATGGTAAAAAAGAGAGTTTATCATTGATATTTCTATGTGCTTATTTTATTAAATAAATTTGGCAAACTTCCTTGCAGAATAACTCACTGGACACTGCACATGTTAACCTTGAAAAGAAAATCTGTTCTGAAGACGCTGCACATGTGGCCAGCTCCAAAGATTGTGTGCAGGTGATGTGCTCTGAAAACTCTGTGCAGGTGGTAGGCAAGGATCCATGTCATGGCAGTCTGCATAAAAACATGAAAATCAAGTCAAAGAAGCATGTGAAACATCCAGTTGTCAACTTGTGTTTTGGGTCCAAACAACTGTTGCTGGCGTCCCTGAAACCGCGTAAGAAAAAGAAACACAAGAGAACCAGAAGGCGGTCCACATCTTCTGCGGACACTGAAAGTATTGCTAATGATCAACAGACATCAACATCAAAACTGTTCTTACTAGTGGCATATCGCATAAATCCCATAAACGGAAACGCTGTCGTAACAGTGCAAGCTCTGAAGATTCTGTTCAGATGTATGGCAAGAAACAAAACCTTGGACACTCCTATGCTGTTGAACTTACCATGGACAAGAAGGGCAGCAAGGATGCAACACTTGCTGGTGCTGAGCTAGCAAGTTTATGCCCTAGATCTATGTTAAATCCTGATTCAGGAAAATGTGAGGGTAGAGATGAGAAAGGCTCCTGGCATTTTAATCTCCTCACAAGGGGTTTAAGAGGTTAGTTTGTAACACTTCCCTGAGTCCATGCATATGTGCAGCCCCACAGAAATGTACTAAATTTATTGAACAAAATAACAAATATATGAAGGGCGGGCCTGGTGCAAGCGGTAGATATACTTTGTGACCGGAAGGTCCGGGTTCGAATCATGGTCTTCGCATTTCCACAAAGAGAGTAAGGCTTGCCACTAACACCTTTGATGACTGCACGCCTTTTAAAATAACAAATATATCTTATCATTTCCAGTTCCACGGTGGGGTGATGATGACATGGCAAATAACACGGCAACAGAGCTGCAATGTTCCAATTCCACCAGCATTGGTTACGTCTTAGATAAATGGTAAGTTGAATAAATTTAGTACCAGGTGCCAATAAGTCTTATGCTTCATTTCATCTTGATGGTGATGCATGAGTTCTCTTTGCTAACATCGATGGTACTGGCTCTGGATGCTTTTATCTCAACCACCAGTATTATAGGTTTAAAACTTCAGTATAGGTTTAAAACATATGCTCAGCATTGTTCTGCCTTTCAAAGTGGCTTTTAGTTGATGAGACGAATGTTGATAGACCACATATTTTCTTGGGGTGTTTATTTTATGTTTCCCAGTTATGGTTCTGTCGTTGTTTGATGTTCAAATGTTTTGAGATTAAGACTTTTGAGTTTCTGGTTTTTGGATTGTACAACTTTTTTGTTGAGACACTCATGTCATCTCATTTCTAGGGATGAGGAGTATGACCGCGGAAAGAGGAAGAAGGTGAGGAAATCCATGCGAGACTTCAGTGGGCCGAACCCTTTCCAAAAGACGGAAAACACTAGATCCCGGCAGCGGAGAAGATTACAAGCTGGCCAGGCCAGGTCTGGACACCAGCCTCTCAGGATATGATACTGTAGAAGCAGGTCGTTGTTGTATCCATCATTTTTGCAATTAGGTTTCCTCTTTCTTTGTTTCTTCTATTTTCTGGTGTGTGTCATCGAAGAGCTTGGACAGATCAGATCAATGGACCTTTTCGTAGTGGAGAAACGCTGTGAAAACTCGTTTGTTCTGTTCCAGTTCCTCTAACCAGCTCTCTTTTTGCACTTGTGTTGAAACATTTGCATCGATCTGGTCCGCAGGAAAACAGCTATAGCATTCAGATACAAGAAAATGAATTGGAAATTTTGAAAACAGTATACATTCGGATGGGCGAGGTTTAGTTGAACTTTGTAAACGAGTTGTGGGGTGTATCCGTACATGTGTTGAAGCCTTGAAGCTGAAGAGGAACGTGTTGTGCAGTTCAAAATGATCACATGTTTAATGGCAATTACACAATGCAACGACCAGCATGATCCGGTTGAGATGAGCACTCCCGCCAAGCAGTATCGATTGGGACTCCCAGAGGACGGTGACACATCCGCGAACAAGCGCAAGGCCGGACGGCCGGACGACCAATTTAAGGTGGCTCACGCGTTACCTCTGACCGTCGGAACCAACGGGATCGGAAATTCGAAGGATCCCGGCGGCGAGCCGGCGACATCGACGACGGCGGTTGGTAGCGCCGTAAATGAATACGGATGCTCCTACTGCTCTAGTCTACGCGCGCAATTATACGGAGAACCTACCATCCATCGCCTCATTTACACGGCCGCAAATGCCTCTCCGACTGTTCGAATTCCACGCGCGTCAATATAATCCCCCATCAACCATGACCATGATTGCCGCCCTCTATAAATACACCCGCCGCGCCGCACGCCTCCATCCATTCCCGAGACGAGACGCATCGGATCCTCCTGGGGATACTGGCCGACGTCGAATCGCCTCTGCTGCTGCTCCAGCGAGCAGCGAGCCACTGCAACTCCATCACCGATGTCAGCGGATGGAACCACCACGGCGCCGGCGCCACCGCGCATGTCGGCCTCGTCGCCTCCCACCGTCGGGACGCTCCTCACCAGGGCCTCCGCGGCCCGCGACAACGACCGCGGGTGCTCCTCGCCGCGGTCGCTGCTGTCGCGCATCCTCCACAGGGGCCGCGGCGGCGCTGGGTTTGGATGCCGCATCCGCCTCCTCCCGCGCTACTGCGCCAGCGGCGCGGCGGCCAAGGAGGACGCCATCGCCCCCGCTGGAACCGCCGAAGCCGCGAAGGAGGAGGAGGGAGAGCCGACAGAAGTGACCGCGCCCACGGCGGTGGTGGCATCCCAGCCGGGGCCTCGCGAGTCCGGGTCCCCTCGGACTTCTCTTGGTACGTGTGCGCGCGCGTTTGTCCACGGTAACCCCTGTGCATTGCATGGCCAAGTGGTGACTACGCTTCACGGTTGTGTATGTTGCAGGGAAGGACGCGCTGCCGGCGAGCCTGGGCCTGGGCGCCAGCCTGGTGCTGCTGCTGTCCAAGAGCGCGGCGGAGCTGAGCAGGATGGCGGAGCTGCGCGCCCAGATGGAGCGCCTGCTCCTCGACGCCAGGGCGGACGTGCGGAGCTGCAACGGCCGACCCAGCGCCTCCGGCGATCGCACAGACTGCGCCAGCGTCGTCAAGGGCCCCGTCGCCTGCGCTGGCAGCGATGGTTCGCGCGCGGGCACGGCCGCCCCGGCGAGTCGTGGGGTGAGCGAAGCTGACGGGCGCCGGGATATGGACCGGATGGAAGCCGAGCTTGAGGCGGAGCTGTCGCGCTTGCAGTTGCAGCGAGCCTCGGACGACGAGGACAGTCGTGATGATCGGCTCGAGGTTGGTAGCGCGCGGTGAAAACTGCGCTTCGTTCGCCCATGACCATGTGCTCTGTTCTGATCGAGTGACTGATCCTCGCAGGTGCTGGCGGGGCCAAAGAGCAGCGCCTCCTCGAGGAGCCACTCGACGATCTGCTCCGACTCCGACAACGACGACGGAGAAACAGACAACGGCGGAGGCGGCGACGAGAGACAAGACCGCTACGACGAAGAGGAGGAGGAGGAGCGCGACGCTGATGAGGGGAACGAGATCAAGAGCCCGCCCCACGGCGGCGTGTCGGCCCGCGAGCTGGAGCGGAGGCTGCACCAGCTGCTGCAGTCGCGGCACGAGGCGAGGATCGCGGAGCTGGAGTCGGCGCTGGAGCGCGCGCGGCGGAAGCTGCGGGAGACGGAGCGCGAGGCGTGTCGGTGGCGCGACACCGCCAAGCTCGCCACCCGCTTCGCCGACGAGTCGAGGCTCAGGTAGGAGTCGGACACCAAGCAGAAGAGAACCCACCATCGCCGCACGCCCGTGCCCACGGACCGATCGATCTGCTGCTCGTCCTGCATGCGCCGCCTGAGTAGTTCGCAAATCCCAACGCATTTCGCGAGAAATTTATGCTGAACGTTAACGCAGGCGCACGGATCGAGATGAAACTTCCTTCGATCTTTTGGATTCAAACTGTACTAAACGACCGATAATTCCAGTCGCGCTAGAGGCATTGATGTATCCATCCAAAACTTCCAGCGTTTTGACCAATTGGTAGCAACAACAAAACGATTAGCACATGAAGTTCTTGCTTGAATTACTAATGACGTACCAAAGTCTGTAAATCGAGTCCGGTAATTCGAGGTTACCTTCCGTTCTTCCGTCTGGAACATGTACACAGCCCAATGAAAAAACGGAATTACGGAACAGAGCACTGCGGCCACCAAACCGACTCCGACAATCCGAACGTCCGAGACCACCGAGTCCGAGTCCATTGCCCGATTCGATTCGTAAAGAAGCTTCTCCAGCCAGGCCAATAAAAGGAGGCGGCACCCTGCGCTTCTCTCCACCAAAGTACCAAACCAGAGCCACCGTTCGCAAAGCCTTCAGCGAAGCAACGCAAGGTCCCAAGCCACCAAGCCCACGACGCGAACACCGTCTGCCGCTGCGCCCGTGTAAATCCAAGAAATCATGGCGATCCACAAGCTTGCTCGGACATTGGCGATCTTGTGCCTCGCCGTCCTGCTGCTGCTCCTGCCGTGAGCGGCTCACCCCATTTCCGAAACGAGCACCATCGATGGCAGCCGGAGCAAGCACCTGCCACTTCGTGGATCGATGCTGCGCGGCCCGGAGAGCGTGGCCTTCGACGGCGCGGGCGCCGGCCCTTACAGCGGCGTCTCCGACGGGCGCGTCCTTAAGTGGAACGGGTTCGCGCGCGGGTGGTAGACGTACGAGTACAGCCCGGGCTACGACGCCGAGGCCTGCACCGCATCCAGGGCTCGGCCGGCGGAGCTCACCGAGAGCAGGTGCGGCCGCCCGCTGGGCCTGCGGTTCCACCACCGGTCGGGCAACCTTTACATCGCGGACGCGTACAAGGGGCTGATGCGCGTCGGCCCGGGCGGCGGCGAGGCCACGGTGCTGGCCGCGGAGGCCGACGGCGTGCCGCTCCGCTTCACCAAGGCGGGCACGTCTGAGCACCTCGCCGACTTGCCGGGCTACCCTGACAATGTGATGGCCGATGGCAGAGGAGGGTTTTGGGTGGCGCTGCATCGGGAGAAGATGGAGCTGCCCTTTGGTCCGGACAGCCACCTGCTCGCCGTGAGGGTCGGGGCCGACGGTCAGGTGGTCCAGGTGATGAAAGGGCCCAAGAGCGTGAGGCCGACGGAGGTGGTGGAGAGGGAAGGCGGCGAGCTGTACTTGGGCTCCGTAGAACTACTACCTTATGTCGCCGTGGTTAGGGAATACTAGTGACTTCAATGATTTGTAATAACTCTTTTAAAATAAAGTAGTAGTAGTAAAAGTGCTTTGTTTTTTTTTTTTGTAATTTTACATTCTTGGTATACAGTATTTTAGGACAAATTTTATCTTATTTCAATCGGAATTGAGGGCTGTTAGATCCATTGTTGAAGATTACTGATTAATATTAATGTGACTGACATTGCCACAATTGGATCAAAATGTATGATTAACGCTGAACTCAGTCGATAGAGCAATATTTGAACCCTGGACGGCGGCTCTCTGTATCATATCAGTGTCCAAAGCCTACGAATACACACAATCATCCTCTCATACATCAAGCCATATTAACGCAGGGGTTAACAGTGCACTAATACGTAGGCATGTCACATGTGATGTATTAACGTCATCCAAAGACATGCATTCTAGTAGAGAGATAAAGTGTACTGCATCATTAGTAACGATGATTTCGTACGTAGTTTCAAACTCGGTGTTTCTATCGAACACCTGAAACTGAAAGTAACTGAATACAAGTTCCGCTGAAAAAGCTGAAACCCAGACATATTGCCACAAGTGCGCTGTACATGTACTAAAACATCATCAAAATATATGTATTCTAACAGAGATAGAAAGTGCACTGCATCATTAACAGCTTCAAGATGATTTCATAGTTCAAACTCGATGTTGCAATCGAACACCTGACAGTAAATGAACAGAATGACGTTCAGCTGAAGCTACTGAACCGAGACAGTCGCTACGATGAATTTTTCCAACGACAAAGATTGGCAGGAGTGAATCAACAAAGGTTAGCCGCTGCAACAATTCTCAGCAATCAGGTTAGTACGTAGGCAAACCCCAACGGTTTGAGGCATTCAATGCTCGTGGTTTCGTTCCAGCCGCTCCGCCTGGGACCTCATCCCCAAGTAAAACAATGCCACTGCCGCTACCAGTTCGATCGGCTCGCGCACGACGCGCCGGGCGGTCACTGGGAACTCTTGCGCGTCTTGCCGGCACCACCGGAAACTCGCCGCCTTGATCCACTCTGGGTTGACGAGAAACTTGCCGTGGTCCCGCGCCCACTTCGCCTTCTGGGTCCCCGGATCCTCCGCAACGACATGGGTGACCGTCTGGTCGACGTCTTTCCTGCAGATGGCGCCGAGCCGCTCGGCCAACGTCCACAAGCGGGTGTCGTCGGGGGAGTCCTCCATACGTTGCTCCAGATAGCTGAACGCAACCGTGCACCCGCGCAGCACCTGGCCCCGCAACTCCGTGATCACCTCCCTGACGTCCGCGCGGGGGCCGTCGAAGAAGGCGTGGTGGACGCGCTCAAGGACGCCCAGCGCCACGCCCAGGGAGCCGCCGTGCTCCCCCTTCTCGTCGCGGCCCTGCTCCGCCAGGGAGGGGATGTCGAAGCGGGACTTGCGGCAGGTTGAGGCGAAGTACCGGTACCTGTTCGTGAGGATGAGGTTGTCCTGGTGCCCCGGCCAGGCAACGTCCGTGTCGTCGAGGTCGAGCGCGTCGAGGATCACCGCCGCGACGGGGTCGGCGCCTGGGATGACGTCGAGGCTCTTCGTGCCCCCTGGGTCGACAAGTCCCTTGACACGACTCTGCCGCCGAAGTAGACGCCGTTCGGGTCCAGCAGGTCGATGGCCGCCTTCGCGTAGACCTGATTCCCCAGGGTGTACACGTGCATCTCGAACTTGGAGCTCGCCTGCTCCAGGAAGCCTCGCACGAACGGCCGCAGCTTGGTGAGCATGCCAAGGTTGTCGGAGTCCAGCCGGAAGAGGTCCATGTCGACCTTGTTGCCGGTGTCGGGCGTGAACCCGAACCATCGTTCGCCCGCGGAGAAGCCGTCGAGCCTCGTCGAGTTGAGCAGCGTGCGGTCGAGGTCCAGGACGAGGATCAGCTTCCTCTCGCGGAAGAGGGTCGCCAGGTCGGACGTGCCCGCAGTGCTCGTCGCCGCCGCACAACCTGGGAGCACCAGGGCCCGGTCGATGTTCGCGACCGTGACTCCGGAGGCCCTTCCTCCCGCGTCCTCCTCCGTAGCCCCGCACCGGTAGCTGAGACCCAGGACGATCTCAGGGTGTGCAGGGCACCGCGCAGGGTCGTCGTTGCCGTGGTCGTCGCCTTCTTCCTTCATCATCTCGTGCCCAACGGCGACTGCGAGAGCACCTCCTTCCGTGTCCTCCTCCTTCACCCCGCACAGGAAGCAGAGCCCTCGGACGAACCGAGGATGCGGGGGGCAGCGCGGGGCGTCGTCGTCGTTTACTCCTCGCTTCATATCGCTCATGGCGGCAGGCGGCAGCGGTGGGATTGTCCCGGCGAGCGGTGGTTGGGGGGGTGGTCGGTGAGCGCTGGGCGGTGGCAAATGAAATGGGTGCGGGTTGGGGGGACTTGAGGCCGGCCGCCTGGTTTTGTAAACTGCCAATCTGCCATGCCATCGCGCGTGGAGGCGTGGAACGGTTGAGGCCCAATTCAAAGCAGCCCAGCGGCCCACTACGATCCGTTCGGCGCCCTAGTTTGCCGCAACGCCGCCACCAGTTCGCAGCTCCAGCAAACGACTCGTCGCCGTCGCAGACTCGCAGCCACCTCCCTGCCCCGCGCGTGCGCCGCCTCTCACCCGTGCTACTCTCCGGCTTCGACGACTCCTCGAATTTGTCGTAGTCGCCTGAGGTGGGTTCAGTAGCTGATGGTGGCCATGGTGAGGAAGGACGAGGAAGAGGGGCCCGCGGACCGCGTGCCGCACCTGCCGTGGATGCGGTACCCCGTCGACATCGACACCTTCTCCGGCTGCCCCGTCACACTGCTCCCCCGCCTCGACCCGAGGTGCGCTCCTCATGCTCCAGCGTTGCCCTTGTGATCGCTTGAACTGGCCACTCGCTAGTTTTGGTTGCTGCTCAGAAGTGACTGGCCTTTTTTATATCTGTTTTGCTGTTCGTAAGCGTGTGGGAATTACAGTGCGGATTGTTTTTAGTTCGCTCTCAGAAACTGTAGTGCCGGATGCCCGGATGGTGGCTATTGCCTCTATAATTTGTTAGGTCTGAGGTACTCTTTCAACTATAGGTTGCATTAGCATTTGGTGGCACTCAGCTCAGTGGCTTGTGACCCCAGTATTTTGGTCCGTTCGCTATAAATCTTCAAATATTTTCAGTGCAGTTATTTTATCAAGCTAGGAAAGTGTCCACTTCATTTTGGTGATGTATAATGTATTAGACTGGCAGAGGCTTTGCAGGTAATGGGAATTGAATCGTTTTTCCCTGTTCAAGAATCTGCAGGGATCAAGAAGATGATGACAGTGGAGGTAGCCTTGCTTAACAGATGGTGGGTCAGGATCATTACCGGAGGCATTTTGGTTGATGCACTCGTAGAGTACCTTTGACTCTGGGAAACCCTGGAACAAATTCACTTGCAAGAGGGAGTCCAGGATCGCATGGTCTAGCACTGGGCATCCCCAATGGCATTTACTCAGCTAGCACCGCCTACAACACCCTGCACTTAGGTTCGTTACAATCCGTTGCTCTCCTAGAGCGCCCTGCGGGTGAAACTTTTCCCGTGGCTTGCTTTCAAACACTGATAGGAGGATGCGCCATGGCTTGGAATCACACCAGAATTGCCTCTTCTGTGACCAAGAGCTAAACCACTGAACACATTTTCATCTCCTGTTCCTTCACTTCTCAAGTTTGGTTTGTTGCTCTCTCTGCTCCTGGTAAACCTATGGTAAGCACAAGTCACGGTATGTCCCTTCCAGGCTGATGGTGTCTTCTGAGAAGCAATTGGTCAGGACCTCTCAGAAAAGCGTTTGACTCGCTTTTTGCATTGATCACTTGGTGCATCTGGAGGGAGCAGAACACGAGGCTATTCAATCACGAGGTTACCTCCGTCCCTGCTTAACGAAACTAACTTGGTTGCTCAGCTTTGGATACAAGCGGGAGCGACAAGGCTAGACATGCTGGATCTTACCGCTAGATGAAGCTAGTTGTTTTCTTGGATCCTTAGTTGTTATCCTCGTTTGTAAATCATTTATCTCAGGGTTCGTGAGTGCTATGGCACGACACGTTGTGTATGAACTTTTTCTCCTCTGTTAATAAAAAGAAGATACACATGGTTCTTGCGTATTTGAGAAAAAAAAATATCTCTCCACCCTCAAATACTTGAATGATTGCTTAGCTACATTTACTGAGAAGGACTTTTTTTCCTACAATTTACAGATGAGACATTATCTCTCCTATCTATAAGCTCCCTTGTCGATTTAATTTGTAACTGTTTCTTAATTAGTCAAGACATCTAGATGTACTATGCATTAAAAGATTATTGGTACTTTATAATTTGCTCTTCTAGTCCTTTTTCATTTCTACGTGTACACCCAATGTTGAAAACTTGAAATTCTGTGTCCACCACTGTATGTATGGCGTGCAGGGAAGAAGCAGGACGCGCTGCCAGCAAGCCTGGGCCTGGGCGTCAGCTTGGTGATGCTGCTGTCCAAGAGCGTGACGGAGCTGAGCAGGATGGTGGAGCTGAGCGCCCAGGTGGAGCGCCTGCTTCTCGACGCCAGGGAACGTGTGTATCTGAGCAGGATGGTGGAGCTGAGCGCCCAGATGGAGCGCCTGCTTCTCGACGCCAGGAACGTGCGTAGTTGCAATGGCAATTGCACAGACTGCACCAGCGTCGTCAAGGGGCCCATCGCTCGTGCTGGTAGCGAGGAGGGCGCCCTGTTGGCCTGTCCCAGTCTGACGGTTCGCACGTGGGCTCGACCACCCCGGTGAGCCGTGGGGCAAGCGAAGTGGTGGGCGCCCGCCGTGACATGGATCGGATGGAAGCTGAGCTTGAGGCGGAGCTGTCCCGCATGACTACAGGGCGCCCTCCTCGCTGGAGAGACAGACAGCGGCGGCGAGAGCCAAGACCACGACGAGGAGGAGGAGGATGCCTATGACTGCGAAGCTGATGAGGGGAACGGGATCAAGAGCCCGCCCCACGGCGACATGTCGGCCCTCGAGCTGGAGCAGAGGCTGCACCAGCTGCTGCAGTCGCGGCACGAGGCGTGGATCGCGGAGCTGGAGTGTGAGGCCAACGGAGGTGGTGGAAAGGGAAGGTGGCAAGCTGTACATGGGCTCGGTAGAGCTACCGTATGTCGCCGTGGTTAGGGAATACTAGTGACTTCAATGGTTTGTAATAGCTCTTCCAAAAGTGCTTTTTTTCGTAAATTTAGTCTTGCTATACATTTTTAGGACATTTTTTTTTCTTGTTTCAATCTGAATTGCAGACTGTTAGATCCTTTGTTGAAAATTACTGATTATTAAGATTAATGAGACTGAGCCACAATTGGATCAAAGTGTATGCTCAACGCTGAAATCAGTCGATGGAGCAATAGATATCCCATATTTACATTGCTACAACTTTAGTTATGGACCATTTGAGTACATGAACGACGGTTATTTCGACATATCAGTCTCCAAAGCCTACACAGACAATCACGTTCTCATAATTTAACTGCAGTACATCAATCCATGTTAATGCAGGGGTTAACACTTAGTAACAGTGTACTAATGCGTGGGCATGTCACATGTTATGTACTCGAAAATCATCAAACTATACAGCGTGTTTGGCTGGTAGACTGCACAGTGAATTTCAGATTGTTTCGGATGATTCAACGGTGTTCTGTGAGAGAGAATAAGCTAAAACAAGCTAAAACAAGCCATACCATAACATGACCAGCCGAACACCCTGATATGCATTGTAACAGAGAATAGAATGTGCACAACGTCAAGATGAGATGATTTCATAATTTCAAACTTGGTGCTGCGGTCGCACATCAGAAAGTAACTGAATACAAGTTCAGCTCAAACAACTAAACCTCAACAATCTGAAGCATTCAATTCTCGAAGACACGAAGGTTAGCAATGCACGACGTTAGTTGTCCCTACAGCAGATTCGAAAATTTCACCGGGAACGCTAGCTCGTCCTGCCGGCGCCACCGGAAACTCGCCGCCATTGTCCCGTGTCCACTGCGCCCTGTGACCTTGTCGGCGACTGCGGGAGCACCTCCTTCGCCCCGCACAGGGAGCAGCGCCCGAGGACGAACCCAGGGTGCGGGGAGCAGCGCGGGGCGTCCTCGTCGCTTCCTCCTTGCTTTTGCTTCGTCTCGCTCATGGCGGTGGCGAGATTCTCCCGGCGAGCGGTGCTCGGGGAGGTGGCCGGAGCTGGGGGATTCGCACGGGGCGACGGCTGGGCTCAGAACTCAGAATGCCGAATTGAAATGGACGCAGAGGTTGGGGCGGTTCGTCCCGTTTTGTAACCGCCTTCGAGTTCGTGTGGGCCGAGCCGCTCGGATGGATGGGCACAGTTGTTGCCAGGTGGCACCGTTGCGGCCCAAATCTTCAGACTTGTATTTAAGGCCCAATAAATAACAGCCCACCTTGACTCCCTAATGATGGCCAGTTCGAGTTCAAAGTTCAGCTGTTATGTTTTTCTCTTCCCTCCCCCCCTACTCTGTAGACGCTTGCGTAGATGCAAACAAATTGACAGACTAGTAGTAGTAGGGCAGATTCTTATAGATTGAGAAAATCATCTTACGCATATCTTTTGATGGTTATGTTGTCTAGTGCTTGCAAAACAATTAACAGAAACTACAAGCATTCGTGCTAAGTTAGAGACATGAACTTACAGAGATTTCATTTGGTCTAGTTAGTTAGTGTGCGTACTCATAAGAATCGTACCTTGGGCATCATGTCGGTTTTCCACTTCTTGTCATATCTCCTCCAATTTAGGGTTCGTTTGGATGTCCATGTATCCAACTCAATGGGCATCCAAACAATGCCTTAAGCTGTATTTCAAACCAACACTGAAAGAAACAACACACGGTTTACTTCACCCATTTACACCCTAACTCGCAAGCTTGAGCCACCTATCCTCTGCTCTTCTTGCCCTTCCCTCCTCCTCCGTCCTCATCAACTCATCACCGTTAGCATCGTCTCTCATATCAATAATAACCGGTCTCTACCAAGATCATCACTGTAACACCCCTACCTCCTTCAACCATGAGCGCTCCCTCTAAGTCTGCTAACTCACTAGAAGAGCCTCAACACCGATAACCCTTGAACCCTAAGGGCTTATTGGTTTTGCTAGATGTGGCCTGGCTTGGTCCGTGTGGGGTGCAGGCTAAGAGTGTTTGTTTTCTTAGGTAAGGTGTTTTGCTTGGCCCAGGGCGTGCAAAAAGTGCATGCTAAAAAGGCGAAAGAATAGTTGGCTCTGTGTGCACCGTTCAGGAGATTCCCCTGATGAAAGAGTCTGTGGAATGGAAAGAATAGTTTTCCCTGATGCTACGAGACTCATCTACAAGGCCTCCATCCAAGGGGAAAACTATTCAGGAGATTCCCCTGATGAAAGAGTCTGTGAAAGAGTCTGTGGAATGGAAAACTATTCCCCTGATGCTACGAGACTCATCTACAAGGCCTCCATCCAAGGGGACCAGAAATCTCCCTTCTTTTCTTTTGTTTGGAACAACTTCGCCCCCCCTAAGAGTAAAGTTTTTCACATGGCTGCTGGTGCAAAATAGGATCCAATGCAAGTCCAACCTCATGAAGAAGAGCATTCTGGAAGACGACACTTGTGAGCTGTGCAAAGGCGGCAGTGAGGATGCAGACCATATCATCTCGGGATGCCCTTTCGCCAAAAGTTTCTGGGACAAGATTGCGTGGGAGAGCAGCCAAATTGCTAATGTGGAGGCTCTCTGGACTACTAGAACTCCACCAGGCACGCCCCCAAACGCAGCGCCGAGTCTCATCCTCCTCTTTTGCTGGGAACTTTAATTTGGAAGCATCGGCACGATGTGGTATTCAGACAAATGACGCCCAACGTCGACTGCCTGATCATTGCTTGCAAAGCTTCTGTCCAGCTGTGGCTATGCCGGGTACCTAGAAGGTCCACCTACCTGTATAATTTCTGGAGCTCACTCCAATTGATGTAAACTGTTCCTCCTCTCATTGCTCCTGTCATGTAACTCCTGCTTCAAGCCCTAAACTTTGGGTTCATAGAACCCTGTCCACCCACCGGACTTTCTGGCATCTGTGGCAATACAAAATTAGGTGGGGACTCTTCATCCCCGTTTAACTAAAAGAAAAGTGCCTAATGAGCATGGCTCTCAAAAAAACAAAAATGAAATTTGTTTTCCATGGGCTTGGAGGCTGACCACCGCGCCTGCACGCACGAACCCGCGTGGGTCCTAATGCCCCAGCAACTATAGCAGACGGCTGCGGCAGGTGGGTCCCGCTGCAACATGTGTAACATCAGATTTATTTTTACAACATCCAGATGAAATACTTGCAACATACATCCGAAAACAACTAAAAAATTTGCAACATATGTCTGCAACACTTGCAAAACACCAGAAAAAACTTAAAAACATGTGTGTAACCATCGCAAAAACATATGCAACATCCAGATAAATACTTGCAACATACGTATGAAACACCTGAAACACTTGTAACATATGCTTGCAACATGCATGTATATGCAACATCCATATCTATTTTTGCAACATCCAGATGAAACATTTGCAACATACGTCTGAAACAGATGAAATATTTAGAGAATACACTTGAAACATACGTGTATAGTCAATGTAATCTGTGCAACATTCTGATATACTTTTGCAATATCGATATGAACACACTTACAACATACCTCTGAAACACTTAAAACATACGGTCGCAACATGTGCTATTAGCGCAATGTCACCTTGTTGCCTGGACGAATGGAGGATCGTCGTTGCGGAGCTCGATGATGATGGCGAGGAGGTCGGCGGCGGCGGCGACGTGTGGAGCTCGCCGGTGCTGTAGCGGCGCGGGCAACTCGCTGGCGGGGCGACGTCACACGAAGCCCCTTTCCTCACCTACTTGTTGGAGCATCCGTCATGGAGGCTCGCTGGCTCGGTGGAGTGGCCATGGCGAGCGGGCAGCGTAGTAGAGGTGAAGTAGGAAAGGCGTGCGGCGCGGTGGAGCGAGCGAATGGACGGCTCGATAGCGAGTGGGGAAATTTTTTAGAAAGCGCGTCCGTCTGTCCAGACGCCCTGACCTAGCATTACCGTTTTCAATCAGCAATGGGCCATTCCTTTTGTGCAAGTGGCCGTGTCACGCTTAGCTTTGGGCTTACCGTACGTGTGATAACTTTGATATTAACCTTTTGTTTGGGCTCTATTGTGGTGGACTTCTTACGGAGGGCAGTAAGGGGCTTCGGCCCAAATAACGTTTCATACGGAGAGCCCAGGAGGCCTTGGGCGGTTGGGCTCTAGTTCGTCTGTTGGATGGGCGTGAAATTCAAATTTCCTTTTCTGGAATTTCAGTTCATCTTATGCGAGTGTGATCAATTCTTTTCAATAATTCATAAATAAAAAACAGTGAAGGATGAACAATAAAGATGTATTATTATGATCTTCCCGTCTCTTTCTGCCCAACTATTTCTAGCTGCAAGGTCCTTGTCGTGCATACGATTTTTCTTGGTCGAGGCTAGCTAGAAATCCGAAATAGGTCTTTGGGCAAAGCTTTTTCTTTTGTCCAGCAGCCTCCTTTTTGCCTTTGTCAAACTTATTTCTCAAAGTGGTAGCTATAGTATGTATACTTTGTATCTAACCTTTTGTTCGGGATCCTGATCGATCTACTTGTGCTACTTTTGCTCCGAGCTTAAAGTTACACGCCAAGTGCTCGCTACTACTTGACACTTCGACAGAAATTAAAACAAGGAAATACGATTGTGACTGCTGACGAGGATGCTGAAAGATTTTCACTCATTTTCTCCGATCCTTGGCTTCTACCTTCGCATAAAATCCTAACAAATTCTGATCTCAATGGCCACTGTACGTCTTCTTCTCTGACATATACAAGCATCACACATGTCAGAGGGTTCTCAGCTCCTATAAACCACTCTGGCAGCAGCAGGCGGCCCGGTGCCAATAAAAAAAAAGTCAAGAGGGGTGCTGAGATAGAAATTCAGTTGCGACATGCATGTTTAACTAATCATCAGTGTGAGGCCATTAGATACTGATCGATATTATGGTACAAGAAGTTCTGATTTGACACGCGCGCACGCACGATCGGACGCCGGCCCCGTTCGGTTTACCTTAAATTCGGTTTGGTCAGCTTCTTTCTTTCTTTTTCAGTCGGAACAGTATTTTTCTCTCATAACATTTCAGTCAGAACAGTATTTTTCAGTTAATTTCAGTCAAGTTTTATCAAGCTGAACGGAACCAAGTCTACACCTTCTTCTTCTTCAACCTCCCGACCTGCTTGCTCGCCGCTTCCGTACTAGTTGTGTTTACACCAGCAAGAAGATTGTACTCCCTCCATACTAAAAAATGAAGTTGTTTTGGACAGCGACACGGTCTCCAAAACATAACTTTGACTACTTATTTTTATAAAATATTTATCAAAAAGTGATATATGTAATTTTTTGTGAAAATATTTTTAAGACAAATCTATATATATGGTTTTTACATT